GGGGACCGGAGGAGACTCCAGAGTTTTGGAGGCTTAAACTTTTTCGGGAGATGCTGGTCTTACAACGGTTCTGGAGGCTACGAGAGGACTGGGAAAAATATTAACCCGAGAGCTTAAGCAGGTTATGGCGTGTTACAGTAGTGCACGCCACAGCTACGCGATCAACTGATGGGAGCAAAATGCCAGGAGAGACATCTGAGCGACTGAAAGCCAAATCTCAGTCAGATAGGTGGTTGACTACATACTGCATTACGACATGTCGGTAGCAGGTCTTTGGGCCTCGCTATTTGTTGTAAACTGGTGCCTTGTTTGATTGAAATGTGTCATCTACCTCTCCCAGAGAGGAGCTCAACACCTTACAATTCCTTCTTATGACAGTTCGACCGTCGTTGCCGACGATGTTCACCATGTGCTCCACAGCAAGGTAAGAGCAGGTACAGCGATTTGCACGTGACTTAGTTTCTAGTGGTGGTAGAACCTCGCTGAATCTACCAAACTCTCTCCACCCCCACCTGAACCCGGTGTCGTGCGGAGTCAAGAAGACCGGAGGTGGGAGAAGACGCAGGTGGGTGGCACGTTGTAAATCCGCACCTAGTCGTACCACCACACCCCCTGGTCCACAACGTACACTTATACACCATCGAAAGTCACCACGAGGAGCATGACAGAAATTAGAATGGAAGTGAGTCAATGCAGCGCAAATGAAGGGGTTAAGAGGAGAAGGGAGGAGTCGACGATGAAATAGACCCTTTCCGATTTTTCATACTGGTGGGAAAGACGCGTAGAAATTTAATTGGCTAGAACTACAGCATCAAAAATCAAAAGAACGTGTGCCAGGCAAGAGGTCAGTCGGAAACATAGCATTAACAGATGATAGACGAGATAAAAGGGGGAATGGTAATGCACTAATTCTGACTAATTGTTTACTAAATTCGGCGAGGAACACAGTTTTGCATTATCGGCGAAAAGACAACACAATCGGGAAAAACGATCGGGCAAGTAGTTCAAGACTCTGAAACCTCGGTAGGGTTAAGGAAAAGGCGTTAACGAGGAAGAGGGCGGGAACGGAAAGGTCTGGGGAACGGACAAATGTCCTAGTGTATTACAGACAAGAATGATAGAACAAACCTAAGGAAGGAACGGTCATTATTCATATTGACCCAACTGTGAAAAACTCGGCGCCTCAGTTGGATTCGAACCCACGCAGTAATGGGAAGGCTTTAGTACTGCCAACGCTCTAACCACTCTAAAAACTCGGTGCCTCGGAGTTTTTCACAGTTGGGTCAATATGAATTATTCAAAATATGCCAAAACTCTATGAATTACGGAAGCCTGGTAGTCATCTGGTGGATTCTAGGTGAATTACTTAGGAAATCCTGCCTGTATCAGATTTGGTGGATTCCAGAGGTTGCAGTAGGTCGGGTGGGTAACCTGACACAAATGTGATTAAACTCGCGTCATCCGGTGGGACTTCGTAACTCAAGTGGTTAGAGCGCTGGCTGTACCAAAGCCTTCCCCTTACCGCGTGGGTTCGTATCCCACCGAGACGCCGAGTTTATCACAGTTGGGTCAATATGAATTATTCAAAATCCGCCAAAACATCAATGAACGATCATTATGTGGGACCAATGCAAAAAATAGATTTTAACGGCTAAGAGCACGTGAGACACTTCTCACATTCCCAGAGGGAAGGACGGAAAATCGTGTCCAAGCTCTAAAGGCAGTATTTGGACATGCCTGTGCTGCCACGTTGTTTCTCAACGTCCACATTGGCGAATTCGATAAGAGCCACGGCCAGCTTTTTCATCTGTAGGAAGAGAGGGCCCCTCTGCGAATGACACAGCTCCGAAAATAGCTCAGCAGCAATCCTCTGTCGGGTATCCTTTTCAGTCACAACAAGGGGCGTCGGTGGCTAGAAAAGAGAGGGTGGGCAAAACAAGCAGATGAGACACAAACGGGGATTAAAGAAGACCCTGTGAATGTCTGAGATCTGATTAGCAAAACATGATGGCGTGAAACTTTAGGAGGGCGACCAAATCAACTGAGTCGAAATATCTGCAAATGCAATCATAAATGCGTGGTTTTTTGTGTTCTACCTTGTAGGCTAGCATTGAAAATGAGCGGCCCGAGTGAGTTAATTGGGTAAACACCGAGATGTGGAGTACGGATACACGGTGTATCAGAACATAAACTTCAAAAGGGCAGAATGAATCGTGGTTGAGCTTAACTACGGAGGACTGTTCGGGCCGGAATCTGGGAAACAGGTTTACCAGAGCTCAACATGAAAGCAAAATCCAAAGAGAACTATGAAGTTCGGTGGAGAGTAAAAAGGAGTTGGGTACTGGGGGTGGGGGACATTTAAAGTTTGTTAAAACCGCCTTTGGATTTCAAAAGGTCGTACGTGTGTTTTCCAAAATTTAATGAGCCTTATGCATATGGCATGAAATGCTTTATTTTGCCTAAATTGAAAGCATGTGGCGTGCATTTCGATAAGGTTTGAAGTACAGCAGAGACCGACAGGGTCTATTAAAACCGAAGGGGACTTTATTCTGTAGAGTGCCTAAAAGGACACACACAGAAAGAGTGCAGGAAGAGACATTTCTACATATGCGTTCGGCAAAATAAAAGTGAATCCACACAGACATTGAAGGCTAACGGGATAAAGGGGCAATACTAAAGTTGAGTTTTTTTCAGCGGACGCGATTATCGCAACCGACCGGGAAGATGATACGTCAAAAGTCAACATTCTTTTGTGTATGAAATACCTTGGAAGTATGCGACATGCGAAACGGTATTGCAACCTTATCTAAGTAATTCTTCCCAACTTAAGACATGACCTAGAAATTTAGCGAGTTCTTCACAAGTCTCGCCACCCATGACAGCTTAGAAGGGGTATTGTCGAAAGCGCAAAATTTCAAAAATTTCGGACCTAAGTACACGACAGAATGTTAGCTGCTACAAGACAGCGATAACTCAGTAGGTTAGTGGTATGACGATCCAGTCCACGATACTTTGCAATTTCATGTACTCAAAGACCACACCATTTTCCGGTGTACGCCCTTTGATAGCACTCAGGTCGGCAAGTTATGCCTTGAGGGGTTATCGACCAATGCATCGTCGTCCCTCCCTAATTACCCTGAATTGTCTTACGCCACCAATCGCTTCAGTTGGCAAAAAGGCTGGAGCGGACAGTCAGATTAGTATGCGATTTATGGGGGCATTGTTATAGGGGAAGGGCAAAAAAACAAAAATGAATAATGCGACAGGCATCAACCTATCACAGGAACATTGGCCTACAAATACGACGCGATAGGCAGGTCCTACCATGTATATCATAAAACAGCCGCCCCTGTAAAATATTTCCTCTTAGAACGTTTACATGCTTAGCTGTCCAGTAAACAGTACGTACGCTGTTTATAGAACCGAATAAAACGGAGGGATAACCGGCCAGAGGGAGTAGAAAAACGAGTAATGTTGCGGGACCGATTTCTTATTAGTAGGACAAAGTCGCTTTGAGCTGGTAGTTCATAAACACGTGACAGTACTTAACCACTGTGGTTCACAGAAGGGTAGTGCGCCCGACAAGTGAATGGCCTGCGCAGAAACCAAAAACTGGAAAAAAAGCAAACGGGAGTACCGAATTCAGCTTCGGCCTCTTAGGACGAGATGAAGTGCGTGGTGCAGGCGCCTCAGAAGTGGGGATTTCATCAAGGTCGGCGTTTACGAGAGAGAGGAGCGAATAGCCTGTGTGGTGCGGGTGGCCCAGCATCAGTCGGACGACGAGCTGTGGGCGAAAGAGGCGGAAGGAAGAAATAAGATATAGTCCTACTCAAGGCCGAAGATGCTACCTTACAAGGGCGTCAGCGGGAAGATTAACAATCAAGGAGGCTCAAACCTTTAGCTTAACTTAAGCATACCTTGGTGGTGAAAGACTACGTCCTGCTTTTAATGACCAGTCATTAAATCTGTTTCATACTAATGGGAGACGATTAAATCAAAGAACCTCTGTGAACGAGACATATATACATATTCTGGGGTCGTCAAGAATAATTCTCCTCCAAACAAAAAGAGAACTTGGTCAAAAAATACATTAAAAAAAGTTTAGGCCCGGGCAGTCTATGCGAACGAAGATAGATGCGAGAGGGAAGGCAACGCATAGTTGTCCAAATCCAGTCTTGGTAAAAAACAATTAATCCTGCCCTTGCTGGTCTTCGGAATTTTCTATGCGAGTTCGAATGTCCAGATGAGATAGTGCGAGATGCTCTGTCCACAGTCAAAAGTATTGAAACACAAATCTCCTGTCTTTAAAAGAAAGCCACGGGGATAGGAAAGGAAAGCTTAAGTAACACCATACTTCCAAAGGAAAACAGTCCACGATCATAAACTGTAAAGCAGTAAAAGGCCTAGATGTAAAACGACGCGTGGTAGTTTCAAATTCGTGGCTATAAATAGGCTCTAGAGTGCTCGGCAACAATTGCCGACAGTCGAAGTAAGAGCGTGGTGACTACGAAGGGAAAAAGATCGCTGAAATCGTGTCAAGAGTTAAAGCGTACGATTGATTTGTTAGCGTGTTATCCGGCCTTATTCAAATATTAGAGTTGGGTTGAATATGCTACCGGTATGTCATCTTTTGACCGCTATCGTTGTCAGACAAGCTAAAAATAAGGAGTAAAAATAAAAGATGGCCAAGAGAATAAAATGTGACAGTGACCAATTTCCACTCAACTCAGACTGCTTTGACATGCTCGGCAGCAAGTCTAAAGTGTACTAAAAAATCATCAAGCCCTACACAAAGATGAGGCAGGCTTACCTTCCTAAGCAGTGCGTGAGATTTTCGTGCAGCCTGCTCTTCGTGATCATACGAGATCGGGGAAGTAAGATGAGCGAGTAGCTGAGGAAATAACGGGAGAAACTTGCTCGGACGGACATTCATGAGATGTCCCTCGAATTCCGACAGCCAGCGTAGAGAAGGGACGGCTGCAGCCTCTTCTGACTCCGTGAACCCAGGCAGAATGGATTGGGTAAACGAACTCAACCAAAGAGACACGAACCTATAAACCTGCACAAAGCAAAGGAAAGGGGTATTGTAGAGTGCAGTCTCATGTGGCAATGTTGTTAGTCGCTGCAGAATCAGACATACAGGTGACGGTCACTTCACAAGATCGTTTACTTTGCCGATAATAGTTAACGGATGCGAATATGAGTGGCTCGGTAGTTGCAAAAGGTAGCTCAGGAGGCAGTGGTAGACTTAACGATAAAAACGCCACACTGGGAATTATTAAGTAACAAGTTTTGAAACAAAACAATGAGAGCTTACTTTCAGATTGTGTCGGTCACTGAGTGCCAGACACCGACCGTAGGAGAGAAGAGCAGTGGAGAAGTACGAGTGCATACCCGTAAAGAGATTATCCAGTTCAACAGCCTCCAGCGTCGACTGTCGCTGGAGATTACGAAAATACCGGCTAAAGAACAAAGCGGACGGCATTGGTCAAGCGAACATAGACTACGCAGCGGAAGTTAAAACAGCCCGGTGAATAGCACACCTCTTTTTGTCGACCTCAGAGAGGTAGGCAGTTTCTGTGTCGGCGGAGGCCAACAGCTCGCGACGTGCGGCAAATTCGGGTGATTTGAGGTAGGCAGTGAGAGATTTAAACTGGGCGTCCGCAAAGTCCGCTAGCGTGGCCAGAGCATCAGCAGTGCTGTAGAGTGCAGTATGGCCGTCCGAAGAGGCTGACCACCCATCAACCAATTCAAGGGCCTGCATTGAAAAAACAGAGCAATTAAAAGCATCGAAAGAGGTTCAAAGCCGCTAGGCTTTCTTTAATGAGGCCACATGGGTGAAGGAAGACATGACAAATGAGAAAGTGAGTAACTGGTTTGAGGTGCTGGGAGATAAGGTCGGCCCAACCCTTTGTGCGCGAATCTGCCAACCAATGGCAGAGTGAGACTGATGTAGACAAGAAAGTTTCGAGAAGCAGGCGAAAGGGTTCACTGTGCGACTTGATTACGTCGTTCTTCTCCTTCTGAATTATCTACAACGAAACATGCAAATGCAATAGGAGTTAGTGAATAAACACCAAACGGAATGAAGTATATCGAGTATAGCGTTTAAATAAACAAAATGACTGTGTAGTAAAATTCAGTAAAAAGTATTAGATTGTGTAAGTAGTAAATTTTCATGCAAAGAGAAAGCCGACAGGGAGTGCTGGGAGACCCATTGACGAGCCGGACCCCTCGTAACTGTCTCATGTAGCGGTAGAATATCGGCAAACCACGCGTTTATGGGCTCTTGGCTACTACCTGTACTGTTGGTATGGAAACACCTTACATTAAAGCATACTACTAACTGCTTGTCGGCAGTTAATGAATATTACGAGGTTATCTGCTGTGGCTGATGGACTTCGGCCCAAATATGCATATACGAAAACTTTTGTCTGAGCTTATAGACCTTAAATATACTGATCTACTCCAAGTTCACCGTAAATTTCTAAGGAAATTAAGAAGCAACACACTTATAAATTGCGAAATTCTAAAAAATTACATTAAACCCCGAAATCCGCCCTTTCAGGGCGGAACAGTCAGGAATTCAGGAAAGACGGCAAAGGCATAGCAGAGTCACCAAAGAGAAGGGCTTGAATGGCCAAAATGTGGATGCACCGTGCAACCCTCCTGAGCGATTACGAACGACAGAAAAGCAAAATGCCTTCTTGGTACTGTGAACAATGGAGAGCCATTGACTGCGGCTGCCTCAACACCTGATAGCCTCCCTTCTCGCTCCCCATTTCTGGGATGCCCCTAGCATTTTCCGATCAGACCACATTTTTCTGGCAGTTTGCGTTGCTGTCCTACGCGTGCGACCTTAAACTTTCTGCACGTCTACTTTCATCAACTAGTCGGAACTGGGGCTGGGCTGTTAGTTTTGCGTTTGTCCCAGTAGGGCAATTATGTGGGCTAGTACTAATTTCCTGCCCAGAGTGACCTTCTTGGTTTGGCCCAGTGGGCGAAAAGTAGATAATCAAAGCTGCTGCTACCGGCCCCTTCCCTCAGGCAAGAGCCTATTCCCCCAGATGACACTCGACCGTCACTTCCATTAGTTCTTGTACCATGTCATATCAACTACAGGCCGAAACAGACCATTTAATTAAACTCCGGATCAGTAAGCGGTCTGCCAAAAATGAGGCGACCTTTTCAGCTTTGCCCACATCCATTCTGATTGGTGACAATCAAGGGCTCAATTAAACAGCGTGCTGACGATGGTAAGCAGGTAAACGTTTGATCTGAATAAGCGGGCGAGCCAATGAAACGATGACCTGCTTGACTGGAGATAAGGTTTTCCGGTTACAGACATGACTACAATGTCACGAGCCCAACCGACCGCAATGCAAGGGCTAGGGGGAGATTACACAGCATCACAGACGCAGTGGACAGTGCATAACAGTCAGAAAAGTTATTTACGAGGCTGCTAACAGTTCAACATTGATCAATCATATTAAAACGTATGAACCTACAACAGACAGAAGAAGAAACCATAATCGCAAGCTACTCTTACGTTTGACAGGTGAGAAAGAACGGTACAGAGCTGGGTGTTGGCGAACGCAACCTCTCCACGCGCGCGATCCATCTTGGCGCAGACAAGGCCACGCAGCAGAACGTGCCTTAAGTCAAGCGGCGAGGGAGGATCAGGAGTTGAGAGTGGCGTCGTCGGACAGGAATTCAACAATTGGCTGGCGTAGAGCAGGTTGCACGAGTGTTCCGTGTCCACCACAGCCTCAACCAGAGCCAGCCGAGAAAGCTGACTGAGAACCAACATGGGCAACTGCGAGTTACCAGGACAGGGATTTTTGTCTTCTAGGAGTAAGTGTCCCAGACGCAGGGAAGCCTCTAGAAGGGAGAGACTGCTCCGGGTGCGACGGAGGTCTTGAAAGTCACTTGCGATCGCGGCAGCGGTCGAATTAGCTGCCTCGAGCAAGATGAGACCGCCGCCGGCGGCAAGGTTGGACAAGGAATAAGACTGGGCGTCACTGAGAACTTTGGCCGTGGTGCGCCAAGCAGAAAGTAGATTCAGCTGTGCGCCAAACGAGTTGAAGTCGCAGGAAGACATGTCCAGCGACTGGCCGGTTGATGAGAAGTAACGAATTAGCGTGTCTCTTAAATTGGAGCGAAGAAGAATTGTTAGAGATTAAGGACGGCAGCTGACTTGAAAGACAAGGTGCCAGATGGGAGATTTGCACGAGAGAATCAGATAAAAGTCAGGCTATTAAACTTTGGTAGTCTAAAGGGGCAGGAAACAGTGAAGTCCGAAGGAGTGACTAAAAGGACAGTTACATTATGAAGGAACTAGTTCTGACGGGCTGACAATGCTCTTCAAAATCACACGACAGGCGCGAGGGATGAATTGATTGAATTTATCAATTATTTGGATGACACGTCAGAGGAATTAATTTGATTCGTGGCAAACCCGATCCCTGCATACTAAAACACGCGTGTCCGAAAGACGTGCGAAATGTTTAAATGGGTGTGGGTTCAAAAATCTTACTGAGATTCTACTGAATACATTTGACATTTGAGAATTTCTGAAATGCGGCACACGACTTAAACGCTTTGACGAAAATTCTAGTTGCAGTTTCTGCTTTGCGCTAGACTATGTGAGAAGTAATGTACAAAACACTAAATTCCTACAATAGTGACTTTGCAAGGAGAAGTAGTTGACGTTTTTCGTCCATGCCAATAGTTAACTTTGAGAATTTGGTTGATGTTGTTATGAAACAGAATTTTCCTCATCATACACTATCCGACAAGGACATCAAACCGAACTATGGCACTTCATACTGGAAATGACGCACAGCGTAAACTTAATGGTGAACCGAAAAAAATAGTTTAGTATGGCCTCCACACTTAAAGCCACTTGCACATGGAGACAGTCAGCGAGCAGCCAGCTTTACCTCTCTGCCTCCAGAAGATTGGAGACCTGTTCCCAATCTCCACGAGCAACGGAATTCCGGAGAAGGAAAATAAGATGATCAAACAGAGGTTCATTCGAGGTCTTGACGCCGGCAAGACGTTTTTCAGTAAATGCGAAGGGTAGCAAGTTGAACTTCGAAGAGCTGACGTCGAGGCAAGATTGGCTTCCCGTATTAATCCCTTCAGGCAGTTGCCACTGGCCAAGGCGCCAGGCGACGTTGGATCTGGCCTGGAGGAGAGCCTCAGAATCCTCTGGGGAGAGAAGATCTATGGGGGGAGGGGGGGGGGAGTAAAAAAACAAAGGTGCAATGCAATAAGAAGACAGTGAAACTCAAGACTTCTTAGTGCTTCATGTGCCCAGTGCAGAGTGAATAAAGGTGTTTGACGTATGTGAATGAAGGAATTAAGTGAAAGTAAAAAGATCTAGCGCTCTATTAGATGAATTCAGATAAAGAAGCAGGCTAATAATTGTTGTGCCTAACCGGTCAAATTTCGTCTATCCAGAAAAAGCCCAGGATTTGAATATTGGTGGTACTGTAAAGTAACCCTTCAACCGCTGAGCTACTTGAGCGGCTAGCAATGTAAATAATGTCAGCCCCACACCGAGTTACGTATTCGATCTGGCCGGAAAAAGGGAGGCGTTTTCTAGACAGCCGTATCAGTATGGTGCGAGTCCTTGCAAATGACTACAGAGTAAAAGGAAAACCCCAAAAGTTCTCAACGCTTCCTCAACCGGTCGGCACACTTTACAGGGCCGAACGGAGGTAGTGAATAATTATGTCGGCAAGTAATGCAAACGCAGGGGGAGATGAAGAAGCAGAGTCCAAGGAGGCGACAGTGGGAGTGGGGCGTCCGGTAGCAAATAATTCCGAACAATAAACCAGAGACCCCACCAACCTGGAAGCCCCTGTGAGTAGCGACAGAAAGCATTATCGCCCCCGAGTTCATGCAGTTGGATGGCCAAAGAAACTTCAGCGGCGGACGAGGAACCTTGCCCCGAGGTCGAGACTCGATGATCGTACCAGGAGAGGAGCCACGGATTATTCCGTTCAGTCTCATTTATAGAGAACCTACAGAAGTCCATAAAGGTGATCATCAAATTTGCGTACAGAAAAGTTGGCATAGTTGAGTAAAATGATAATGACCGGGTAGTTCAGTTTTACGAAAACTACGAGCCAAATACGCTACCACACATTCAGAAGAGTTCCTATCGGACCGTGCGAGATACGCGACAAGAAGTAAACAACTAACCGCATAAGGTCGCTGAGATCGCCATCTGCGAAAGGCGCCATAGGTAAGTCGACTTGAACACCCTTAATGGCAGTGTAGACAGCCTTCAGTCCTGGAACGTCGCGTTGAACACGACAAAGATCAATCCACACGCGATGAACATCGGTCCTCTCATAGAATATTTCCGGCCTAGGAAACAAAAGTAGGTCGCTAACGTAGTTGCCTTAGTGGGCGAAGAGGGGAACTTGCAAGCAGACAGCATAAGCGATACATGCCTTGTTTAAGTTCCGGGGAACTTAAACAAAGGCAGTTGAAACTGGAGTTCATATACCAGAAAACACAGGGGGAAAGCTGGGGGACCCACTGATGAGCTGAACCCCTCACAGCTGCGTCAGGCAGTGGCCCAAGATCGGCGAGGCACGCGTGTCTGGGCTTTTAGCTAATACCTGTGTTGTTAGTACGGTAAAATAATTACACAATTATAAGCGATACATTTCAAAGGGACAAGATCCTATTGTAGGTTTGGAGCACGTCGACATAAGGTTTGACAAGCAGACAGCATAAGCGATACATGCCTTGTTTAAGTTTCGGGGAACTTAAACAAAGACAGTTGAAACTGGAGTTCATATACCAGAAAACACAGGGGGAAAGCTGGGGGACCCACTGATGAGCTGAACTCCTCACAGCTGCGTCAGGCAGCGGCCCAAGATCGGCGAGGCACGCGTGTCTGGGCTTTTAGCTAATACCTGTTTTGTTAGTATGGCAAACAATTACACAATTCATTGATATTTTGGCAGATTTTGAATAATTACTGCGTGGGTTCGAATCCCACCGAGGCGCCGAGTTTTTCACAGTTGGGTCAATATGAATTAATCAAAATCTGCCAAAATATCAATGAATTACGCGAGCCTGGTAGTCATCTGGTGGATTCTAGGTGAATTACTTAGGAAATCCTACTTGGGCAGTCAACTTACTGTATCAGATTTGGTGGATTCCAGACGTTGCAGTAGGTTGGGCGGGCAACTTGACCCAAATGTGATTAAACTCGCGTCGTCCGGCGGGGCCTCGTAGCTCAGGTGGTTAGAGCGTTTGCTGTACTAAAGCCTTCCCCTTATTGCGTGGGTTCGAATCCCACAGAGGCGCCGAGTTTTTCACAGTTGGGTCAATATGAATTACACAATTGATTATAGATTGTCATACAACATTGTGCCAGGTCATTTCATATAAACCAGAATACCGGCTTCTAGGTAGAAACTTTTCCAGCTGTCGAAAATTACGCTGGCTGGAAAGTTCAACGCAAGTGGTGCACATAGCTCTGCTGCTTCTCCACCTCAGTGTGAATCCATTCATACTTTGCAAAAAGCATGCACAGAACACTCAGGCTTTGTACTCATCTTGCCGGAAATTAAGTACCGTCGAGATGGCATCATCTGAGGGATGGACATCTGTCGGCCTTAAAAAGGTTGTAGATGTGGAGAGAGCTTGGAACGTTGAAACGACTTACCAGGTGGTACAGTACCTGCACATCTAATAGTGCCGTTTTTGGAGTAAACAAAGTGAACCATGAGCCGTTACAGGTCTTGAATACTAGACCGCCTCTTCTTATACGGCATGAAAAACTGCAGGACATGGTTTAAATGGGAAACGCACAGCGCGTGAATTGTAAACTCCGCCGATTGTTTCTGATTTAATACGGGAATGTGTGAATTGTTTAGAGGCCTAAAGACCTCCTTTTTCAAATCAAAATGTCAGATCGTTTAACCCGACGATGTCCACCGCGTGTCCCACGGCAGAATGGATGCAGGGACGGTGACTTGTACAGTTGGTGAGCAAACTCGTGAAATGTCAAATGAAATTCCGAAATCTGTTTTCGTTTCGAAAAGATTAATTAAGTAGGATTGTAAAACTAATCCACCTGCAGTATAATCCTATAATAATTCAGTTACCTCAGGATGCCGGCTTTCGAAAGAACTTCCTTCCGACTGCATACGAAAACTATGCTCTGTAAAAAAATTGCTACTTAAGTAGAATGCATTTTCTCTTTAATTTTCGATGCCCCTAAAAGTCCAATCATATTTCATGGAAAACATGCACAAAAATATTCGTTCTTTTGCTCATTCAGTAGAAAATTACGTCTTTTTTCAATTTCATACTCGAAGAAAGGACATCGTTCGGTTTTAAACAAGTTTCTAAATGTGAGACTTTTTAATACCCTGAAATGGCCGTTCATAAAACGTCATATCTATGCATTTACCAATGTGACTCGTAAAGTTAGCAATATGGATCAAATCTAATGCTAAATTTCATGAACCCCATATGGTCTCCTCCAAATGCAGGGCTTGCAGTTTGGAAACCCTGAATGGAAGTGGGACGGCAGAGCGGGTTCAAAATTATTCGGGAATTTGAAGTTTTTGAAAACCGAATTATATCCTTCCTTCGAGTATAAAATTGGAAGAAGACGTTGTCATCACTATAACAGACCTGCGCATGGGGGTCCGGCGGATGTGGGCTGAGAGAGTGTGGTAGCTGCAGCGCAAGTCGCCGTCTTATGCCAACTGTGCTGTGGGGCGCGCGATGGACATCGTCGTAAGCGACGATCGAACTACCATATCATAGGAAAGTCGTCCACCGAACAGACTGAGTGATATGCTCGTCACGTTGCGCCCTGGTACCCAACCGAGAGCCCTCATAGGCATTCGCATACGGACACCGACAAAGACGAAGGAGACTGGGATGGCAGTTTCCGGCTTATAATCAGCTATATTTAACACCAATCCCGAATAATCTGGCCTTTGAACCCGAATTTAAGCACGCTCGTAACCCGATTGGTGAACGCCCTTTCAACCATAGTTTAAATACGCGATCACAATGAATAAGATAAAGAGCCCGTGAACGTTTGACTTCGAAACGTTCAGTGATCGGATAATTCGGGTTTGAATCCCAGGTTTTTTTCTGTCAAAAGAACAGGCGGCCTTATAGTTGTGCAGCAGGTAATAAGAATGATGAGACCATGGCTGTCACGTAACTAAACGGTCATTCGCATCATAGTGTCATTGAGTCTAGAAGAATGTGTGGCCCCCATTTCACCTCAGGGTCTCAACACAGTGCTTATCCCTGTTATTAACCAGACTTTAGACTTCTGACTCAACCGATGGACTCCACGCTTGCTGAATAGAAGCTGCCAGCTCGTTTTTCTACTTGTAAATTCGAATACTGCAACAACAGGTCGATCGTCGTTGCCAACGATGTCCACCATGTGCTCTAAAGCAGGGTCGACTCAAGGACGGTGGCTCGCACGTCAACCTGTTTAAATTGCGCTCCGTCTACCGTACTCCTCCCCCACCTGGGCCCGATGTCAAGACAGAGTCAAGAAGACTTGAGGCGAGAGAGGGCGCCTAGCGTGTGCCACCAAACCGGCTCGGGTCCCACTGGGTGGTCGTGATATAGAGGCCATATTAGGAAGAAGCCACTGCAGCCTGACTCCCAGTCCATCAGTCGGTCACTGCACACAATTAAGCTGGGCTGACTGCGAGTTATCCCATCAGTTGCCAACCTTTCAAGACACGGCTTTCAGCGTGCCGTGACAGATTCAAACGTGTCAGTTTGTTTTGTAGTGAAGAATATGCGCCGAGACAGTCGACCTCATTCTCTCTTCCTACTCTCAGTCATCAGTACACCGTCTGAGTTGGTAAGTTGTTTGATGGGGGCGCAGTGGCTAACAGCTGGAGTTCGTCTGCGAGTGTCACATACAGGACCTGGCATCCCACACACACACACAATTTACTAGCATTTCACACAAAGGAGGTGAAGTGCCCGGATTTCACATGCAGCAGAGAGGTCGCCGTATTAACTTACAAAGGACAGTGATTATGGATTCTGCCTTGTTTAGTTTCCGAGGAAATTAATGCGTGAACTTGGAGTAAATTCTTCGCAACGGACCTTTTCAGGCATGGTCCGAAAGCTGATATGAATATGATTGGAAAGGTTTAGTCCGATGAATTTACTCCAAGTTCGCGCATTAATTTCCTCGGAAATTCAACAAGACAGAATGAAACTGGAGTTCATATACCAGAAAACACAGGGGGAAAGCTGGGGGACCCACTGATGAGCTGAACTCCTCACAGCTGCGTCAGGCAGTGGCACAAGACCGGCGAGGCACGCGTGTCTGGGCTTTTAGCTAATACCTGTGTTGTTAGTGTGGTAAAATAATTACACAATTATAAGCGATACATTTCAAAGGGACAAGATCCTATTGTAGGTTTGGAGCACGTCGACATAAGGTTTGACATTTTAGGGAAAGCAGATGCAACTACTGGTCTAAGGAAATTTCTTATTGTGCTCTTTGATTTATTTGGCAGAGAACATGAAAGGTCGCATTAGTAAATCATTATCGTTGTGTTATCATTATAGCCGTGAAATGAGTTGTTGCAAACCATTAATAAAATAGACCATCGACTGCATTCTAATAGCTGCAAAGGAAGTCTAACTCTTTTCAGATACAAGGTGGTTTCAAGGACTGTTGACTGGGATGTTAGATGAGCCCACGAAACAGGTCAGCAAAAGTAGTAAACGAGGTTGCTTTCTGTCTGCAAATGGTGGTGAATATAAAAAAACTTACTTGTTGATCCACATTAATTCAAGGAGGAGTCGCACATAATCTGGACTGCCAATCTTCAAGGCGACTCTGGCAGCGTCTAGCCAGTCAATGTCGTAGGAAAATCGCTGCCCAGCACTAAAATGGGTAAAATGCAACGCGGTAAGGGAAAGTGTGGACACTAAACCAATGATCCATGAATGTGACCCCCCGATTGTAGGACGGAACACGGTTGTTCCGTTTTAAACTAGAGCTGCAGTTTAGAGCCTTCGCGGAGGTGCCGCGATGACAAAAAATAACGCAGAAGTACAGTAGGTGGGCTACCTCATGAAATGCCAACCGAAATTCCGAAATGCGTTTTCGTTTCGAACAAATTAATTAAGTAGGGTTGTAAAACTAATCAGCCTGCAACATAATTCTATAATATTTCCGTTACTTCAGGATGCCGGCTTTCGAATGAATTTCCTTCCGGCTGCATGCAAAAACTACACTCTGTAAAAATGACTACTTAAGTAGCACGCAAGTTTCTCAATGATTTTCCATGTCACTAAAAGTCCAATTATATTTTACGGAAAACATGCAAAAAATATTCATTCTTTTGCTCATTCGGTAGATAATTACGTCTTCTTCTAATTTTATGCTCGACGGAGGGACACAATTCGGTTTTAAAAAGTTTCTGATTGTGGGACTCTTAAATACCGTGAAATGGCCGTTCATAAATCGTCATGTCTCTGCATTTACCAGTTTGGCTTGCAAAGTTAACAATATGGATCAAATCCACTGCTAAATTTTATGAACCCTATATGGTCCCCTTTAGTACCTTAGAGAAATGTGTGGTTTTGCGTACGCGGAAAATATACGGCTTGTAGTTGGGAAAGCCTGAATTTAAGTGTAACGGTTGAGCGGATTCAAGATTATCCGGGAATTGGAAAAGCTTTTGAAAACCGAATTATACCCTTTCTTCGAGTATAAGATTGAAAGAAGACGTAATTGTCTACCGAATGAACAAGATAATGACTATTTTTTGCATGTTTTCCATAAAATATAATTGGACTTTTAGGGGCATCGCAAAACAATGAGAAAACTTCATGCTACATAAGTAGTCATTTTTTGTAGAGGGTAGTTGTTGCCCACGTATGCTCCCACAGACATTCATTTTTTTAAACATGGCATAAAGGGCACCCAGGGGGAAGGGGGCGAAGTCCGTCTGTTGGCCGAAATACAGACTACTCAGCGCGTCCACAGGTAGGGAATAATGGAAAGGCTACCAGCGAAGGCAAATTACGAAACGGACAGGCTCTCGGGAGGAATGAAGGAGTAGTTGCGGGCCGGGTGGCAGTACCACATTCAGCTATGGCCAGGCACTGGGTTGGAGACTAGATTAACCTACGAAAAATTGCAAGACACAGCGATATAACGACATGGCGAACGTGAAAATAGGCTTGGCCGTAGTGGTTGTACAGGCATTTTTCGTTCTCCACTTGTGCCATTCACGTGATCCCTCACAATGAAACCCGACGTTGGTCACTCCTGCGTAACATCTAAGGGGTTACCACGAGGTCGCGTTCGCAAAAAAACCATTGCAACAAGGACAGAGCTATCATGCTGGATGGGCAATATTAATGTCGGGACGCCCAAAGCGCCGCGATAGGCCACCGCATGTAGCAAGTAGTGTTTTGTGAGGTGGCGAGGCGGTTCGAGCGTGTCGGCGTTGAAGCGGGTCTGGGAATCTTCGACGAGCTGAGGTCGCCTCCCGAATATACGTTGACAGTGTGGACAAGATGGCGGAAGTTAGGTGCTTTTGTTGCTACTCCGCGACGCTTTAGTATCGAGTCTTGCATTTTACATTCAGAGCGGCTTCCGATAGGCCCAGAAGATGGCTATCCAAGTCCTCACGACAGTGAGCCAAGTCTGCCGACCTTAAGCGAAATCTTTCCAGATCTCAGAATTAATATGCCGGCAGTTGATTCAGGTCCCCAAGGTGTTCTTATAACGACGGTTTGTCCCCGTCTATGAACACCGGTTTACCTAGATGTTTCATGAAATCAAAATCTCAAAGAATGCGAATGTGTCCATTGGCGTAAAGAACGTTCACTGACATTGATCCTGGATCCGTCGTAGTCAACAGTTGGAGCCGGTTGGCCCATGACAACTGTCTGGTCCGTGCTGATGATCAGGTCGAAGAGCCGCCGGGGGGCGGAAAGATCTATACTCAGTTGCATGTCCTCTTCTGTTGTGGCGGTTAGCGCGCTGTCATACGCAAACAAAAGGTCGCGTGCACCGGCCTTGGAGGCCGTCAATGATGCTTACATGCGACGGATGCTGAGAAGTTTTCCGTCGGTTCGGTAGTCAGTGGAGATGCCTGGTCGCTCTACACAGTAGACGCCCATCAAACTGGTGGAGAACATGAGACCAACTACGGTGGCAGCGAGCGCGCAGTCCTGCTTCAGCCCGTTCATCACTGCCAATGCCTTACAGACTGCACTGCAGTTCGTGCCGCGCACAATAGGTACCTTTCGCATTAGTGTGAATCACTCGTAACATCCGAAATCCGGCACGATCCTACAGAGTCTACCGTCCTTGTGTCGGAGGCCTTTATCAGACTTGCGAAAGTGGCGTATAGGCTGGCCCACATCTCTCTGGATACTTGGCGAGCGCCGAAGTTCCTGACCACAATTCAGAGGTTTCGTCAATTCGCATAAGCGGACGACTACAGCGTCATTGAAGCTCTGGAATATCTGTCCTTGCCGCAAAATCTTTAACACTAAAACAAGTCCACCCACGATCTGAAAGTCGCCCTGTTTATTGAATTCAGCTGGAATGGATTCGACGCCCGGTGCGTGGCCGCCAAGTATCCGTTTTACAGGGAGGGCCTGGGGTCGGGACCTGCGTTGCTTTCATGTGAGGGACTTGTTGATAGCCGTAAAGATCATGTCCATCGTTCCACAGAGCTTTCTGAATCCACAATGTTTCTGAAAGGACTCCCTATAACTCGGGTAAAGATTGTGCCTGCAATGCTTGGAAGGAAAATACTTCTGTTGTAACTATAGAGTTGTTAGTTGCATTTGCGCCTGCGCAAGATGGTGACATCCTCAAAGTCATTGGGAATGCGTCCTCGTAGCCATATTTTATCGAACAGTGCAGCGAACCTTTCCCTGAGTAATGAGTCGTAGTATTTGTAAATTGCGGTCAGGATTGCGTCGATTGCCGGTGCTGATCAGCTGGACAGCCGCTGTACTGCTCTAGGTGCTCTGTGAGTCGCCAACGGTGTCCACTACGACGACAGTTCGGTAATCGTAAACAATGACGTTAACCACGTACCCCAGTTAGTGGGCACAGCACAGGTAACTTGCGCTTGAGGGCTGACTTATGCAGCATCAACCACAGTCCCCTCCCTCACCAATCTTACACCGATGTCAGCATAAGGACAAGGCCATCGGAGGTGGGTGCGGGAGCCGTGCCTGGAAAGGTCAAACAACCTGTCCTCGCGCGCCAAACACGGACTGGCCCCCATACACACGACTACCAGCAGTGAGGCTGAAGGAGAGAGAGTGTGCCAGCAAACTCACTGATTCCTAATTAGCCACTGGATGAAGAGGTGTAGATTGTGCAAACTCTGCAGCACCAAGTCCCAGAGAATTCTGTCCTCAGAATGAGTGCCCGCAATGAGAAGAGCGTTGAAGAAGGCAGTGAAGTTTTGCAGAGACTCCGTCACCAGTTTTCCAGCTCGACCATTTGCAGAGAGCTGCTTCAGGTGAAGGAATATAAGTGCAAGCATCCAGGGCAAGGCAGAACCCCGAATGGGGGTCTAGAGAGCAGGGGTAAAAAGGAAGCCAATGGTGAGTGGCAAAAGAATTAACGAGGATTAGAGAAGTGAAAAGAGAATAACGCAGCGAAAAGGTGCTCTTTCCGCGCCCAGAGCAAGTTCATACAGTGTCGCCTTAGAAATGACAGAATAAGAGCACGACAAAGAAAGACGCATACATGCTATTCGGAGCAATCAACATTGGCATTAAGTTACACTATTTCCTCAAGGCAGTCAGGCACAGAGGACACATCCAACACAGACATGGAAGTGATGCAAGAAATAACTAGTACCGCCAAACACAGACTGCTCGTTGTTTCGGTAGGGGCAACTTCTAGATTCCACACAGTGTTGATACAGCGAGTGCTGTTGTACGACTGACTTCGACATTTGTAAGGGTTTTAAAGCGGCGCCTTGGAATGTGCCGGACATCTCTGATTGCACACATGCGAGCAGACAAAGGAAACACATTATGCGTCCAAAAATTCTGGCTGTTTCAGACATAAATAACCCTGAGACGCACAAAAGAGAACGCAAAGCTCGGTGGAAAATAAAGGAGAGTAAACAAGAGCGGTAATATATATAAGCAGCGAAATATTTGCTATGTTCTGGACTTCGATGTGGCATCTCCCAGCTACCCCAACAGGGGAGCATAACGCGCGGTTCCACCGAGGTAAGAAGGTCCACATGCATCGTATTTACGGTCGCCTTTGCTTGCACAGTTGGAGACACCTGTCCAGTCAAGATGGTTAGCAAAACTTTAGATATTGCGGATGATTTCTACTACCTTGAGTAGGAAGGTCTGTTAGATGGACAACGGAAGGATAAAGTCAAACATCACATCAAAAAGGCACGCAAGACCTTCGATTTAATCCGTTGAAATAGCCGAAATCGGCAAAATATTGACCTGAAGAGCAAACTGCATGTAAGAAACCTTTTTTAAGACAATCTGTCTGCACGCATGTGAGATAACCCGTGGCTTTAGGAGGTAGCCACTGCTTAAATGTACTAGTTCGATGGTTCTTGTGTGCTCTTCACCGAATGAGTCTTTCCGATCGCCTATGTAACAAAAGGTTACATAGCCTGTTCGAAACAGGGTCTATAAACAGCGACCTAGATGATTTGGTCATGTGATACTTCGAACAGTGGGCGAATCCGCATGGGATATTATCCCTCCCAAACCAGGCCTTGCCTGGCGATGACGTCAAGCCGACAACTGAAGTCGTATTTGGGCGTGGTGAAAGCCGGCCTCGGGTGCATTTCTGAGATTGCGGTGCTGGGATGCCGATGGGCTCAAATTCGCTGGGATAAACTGATTGTAATAAAGAGTACTGAATGTGGTAGAAGGGCGCTCACCGACCGTTCTTACGGAACTTACTCGTTCCGTTGTGCCTTATGGGCTCTCTCACTCGAGCCCAACCAGCAGCCGCACAGCGGCGCATGATATAGGCTGAATGGAATTACCTATACACGGTCCACGGTGTTCGTTTCAGGAGAAGGGAATAAATCGAACACGCAGACAGGCTGTTGTATTTCGTCACGTGGTGAACTATAGTCTGCGAGGTCATCGAGGCCAGTTATGTCAGGCAAAATCACAGCCGTACCAAGTGCGAGCAGTAACATTGCAGGTATAGTGAGATAGATGATGCGCAATTCTGCTTGAATGCAAGCCTAACCATCAAAGGGGTCACCCCAGTCTACTCAAGTAGTGTCGGCCCTTATCGAGTACGATGGAAGAGTACCATTTTTGCTTACGAGGCGGATGTCGAAAGTCCATCGGTGCTCGGCAAGACTTTGAAATATCAAAACTCTTTTCGTCAAAAATCAAAGGAAAAGGTTAGTTGTGCACAAGGCGATGAGCGAGCATACAAACCTCATCGAGGAGAAGGGGCTTCAGGTAGACAAAAAAATCATCGAAAACCAGTTCGTGGGCGAACATCCACTTCACGAGATAAGCGATGTCGAAGCTCGATCGACGGAACAGTTTGTGTTTAAGGTTCTCCAGCGAGGTACTTGAAAGCGCCTCAAGGGTTGTTATTGGTGGAGATCTGGCGGAAAATTTGGATGCAGTCTACAAGAGATATTAATTCCAAACACGAAGATTTACGAAACATGTCGCACAGAAGGAGAAAACAACGAACGAAACATGAGCGAGGTCTTACCTGTGCCTTGGCCCTCACAAACGGACGCTGGCGGCATACTTCTTCGCAGTTGATAAACAAAGATAGGAGGACAGAAACATTGAAGTTTTCGTCAGCGACAGCGATTGTGAGGCCATCGAACAGGGACTGTACTAACGCGCGGTCAGCACATATTCGGCGGAGACATGCGTGACCGGATTTGCCAATGGCACTGCTAGATAACAAAGAACGAGACATTTTTTGAGCCTGCCATGAAAAAGCAGTAAATATGACTCTACAGAGGCTACAACTAAAGAACCTCGAGGTATAATGAAACTAATTAATGTGCCGACGTGCGACAGCAACCCAACGCCAGGTGACTGAGACGTCCTTTAAGACACTGAACTTTGTAAAGTTTCTGGTGAATGTAGGGCAAAATGAACGGTTAAATTAAATACTTAAACAACTCCGGCACAGAGACATGATTAAATGAATGGCGTTAAATGAAACAACAAACAATGGTCTGCCAATAATCCACAGACCTTATGTTTCACTGCCCTAAAAGGCAGCCCCATTTATCACTTGACAAGGTGAATTTACTCAAGACTGAATTTCCTTATAGAAAATTTGACTATCAGAATTTTGCGTTAGAAACATACCTGAAGGGGCAAACGACAGAAATCACAGCCCGCTCAAAATTAACCACCTCATTAGCCTGGTCGAATTTTGCTGGATAAACCTATGAGCAGATCAGTGATACTGCAGTTGGCTCCCCGATGCCTGCTTTAGCGACAGAAGGGGTACTACGGTACTACAGCTTTCAATCAGCACAACGGCGTTACATCGACGAAACGCTTGTTATCGCCAGAAAGAACGTGCTGAAGAATTTGCATAACCTGCTCAACGGTTAGAAAACAACATTTTAATCACAACAGCCTATGCTTTGAGGAAGGTTTGTATGCTTCTGCGTTTGTAACTTTGATACTGTGATGGGCTCCATTCCGCCTAAACTATACGCTGACCCGAACACGAATTCCCTTCCAAACATTCAGAAATAAATACAATCCTTAGCATCGAAGACATCAACTTGAAGACTAGAAGAACAGGAATGGTAAGTAGAAAAGGTAAATGGACAAAGCAAAGGATGGTGGCCGAAAAGGCTCATACCAGACTTAGAGACGGTTAGTAAGAGAAAAAAATGAAAATCTAGAGCATCCGTACACCATGTTTACAGTAAACTAGAGACTGCTTGATTCCCTCTAGTTGGGAAGCAGTGGAGACGTCTCTTGCGAGTGTGGGTAAACAGCTCTTTAGTTTCATACGAGACTGCACACCAAACTCACTTTTCAGGGGGAAAACGTCACGAAATAAAAGCAATGTGAAAAAGGTCTCACCACGGCAGTTGATTCTGTTGTGCGATGTAGACAAGTTGTGAGAATTGAGCAGTTTGTAGAGGGCTCGGATCGATGCCGGTCGAAAAACAGGATTGGAATAGTTGTGCTAGGGGTGGGCAGCAATATGCCCGACAGAGCACATCATTCAGGACGAGGGCCGTCTCAATCTCATAGGCGTGAAGGGTAGACAGGCAGGTAACAACAGATTCCCGCGTACATGTATCCAAGGCACCCTCTAAGGAGGAAAGATGGCCCCCGGAATGCACACGGAACGGTTCGCGTAGGGCTCCAATTAGCACACCTTTAAGCGCGGCCAGCGAAGAAGCTACATTGGGAAAGAGTGGATATACAGCAGATGACCCAACTCATAAAACGTGATGACCGAAATCAGTTCGGAACATATCGGACATTACGCATTTTACATATTAGCTTGACGGGTTTCACAAAACGTCTTATTTCTAACGCATAACATGTGACAAAGTTAGTTTACCAACGAAAAAGTCGACGGTTTTGAGCGTAAATCAACGGTGTCAAGGCGGGCAAGGGTATAGTTTACGCTCGGGGTCACTTATTCCGGGGGCAATTGTGTTGAGGAAAAGGGCCGAACATTCAAGAATTTTATGGTATTACAAATTCTGATCCTCTATACTGTCACCAATCAAAAGGGACGCAGTTTTTACCGTTTAATTATAATAATAAATGAATTTAATGCCCATTTGGAGGCATTGTCGTATTCTTACTGCGATGACTACCTTAAAGTTTCTTGACTAACCTAACGCAGCAGTCACCGAGAGGTCTTTTTATTCCTTTCTCTGGCACCTACAAATAAATATCGTCAGTCATTTACTTTTAGCACAATTGCTCCCCGAAGTAAGTGACCCCGGGCGTAGACCGTACCCTTACCTCCAGGGCGATTTGCTATATTGATAACTGCGCTGGACTACACGTACGCAGTTGTGAGTATTTCTGCAGTAGAGGACATTAACCAACATGCAGTTATAACGCCAACGAGCATATGTACATGTTCTATAAATAGTTGCGAAAAGGTCAATCAATGCGTGACCGTTATAAATTTCGAGCGTATAAAAAGGAGATTTGGCGCGGTCTAGCTTCTGCTGGTATGTAATTTAGGAGGAACAGGCACAGCGTTAGCCGTATGAGAAGTAGATCAGTATTTGTATGCCCACTTTATTCTACATTTCTCATCGTCTAAAAGTAAGCACACGGGACGAAGGTGATTTCCATAAAAAGAGGAAGAGTAGTAGGCCTAGGCTTCAATCGATTCACGGCTTGTCTTGCTTCTGGTGTGGGCGACTAACTTTGTGACCGTGAGTTCCCCTCCCGCCTCCAGACTTCTTCACTGTCTTGACACCGGGTCCAGGTGGGTGAAGAGGAGAGAGCGCGGTAGGTGCTGCGCAAGTCACAGTGTCTGCTTCACTTTTCAGTGGAGCAATAAACTGCAAGACACTATCCAGTCACATGGAGTATTGTCGTATTCAAGTCATCCACAAGACGACAGCTGATGCACGATGAATGCAATCAGCTTATCACATGGTTGTAACATTAGGCTCGTTTGCAGGCCCCGTTGCGGGACCGAGGGGATGATTGTTATTATAACAGTCAGAGCCACTCATAACTTGTTTTAGCAGGTTACTCAAGTTTAATCAAGTCTGACAACGACCTCGGGAACCAGTGTCGAAAATGCACCTCATAAAGTTCTCTATTTTTCCCAAAGAACGTGTTTGCCCGGTTGGGCTCGAGAGTGAGCCCTAGGGCACATGGGGCAAATGAGTTTCGAAACACGATCAGGGAGTGCCCTTCAACGGTTGCATATTCACGATTGAAACCGACAAGACAACGGGCTCATGGCCCAGTGGTTAGAGGCGTGGACTTCTAACTCACAGGTCGCGAGTCCCAGGTGTTTTACACTCCGGGGTTGGGTATGACTGGCTGACGACAACTAATAAGCCAGAAATGGCCGTTCCAGTCTCCCTTGTCTTTACTGGACTGGCCTCTCCAGCCCTTGTAGTCAAAAGACATCCAGACAACATACTAAGAAGAAGTAGGTGTCGGAAAAGCTAATAATTGAAAACGAATGCCTATGAAGCTTCTAGAGTAGAAAAAGGCTATTATAGCCGCCTGGAGCAACTCACACTCATCCGTAGAAAGGTCAATGTTGGTGGCTGGTGCCCAGGCTTGGATGATACAGGCCTCTGCTTTCGCTGCGTTTGCGTCTAAGCGCTTAAATGGCGCAAAGACCAGACGTCGGTGCAATTCTGACATCCAGTCAGAAAGGGGCAAGGAACAGGAATCCGCCGCCCCCCTCTCCAACGCTTTGGTAAGCCTGGCCCTAATTGTCGGAAGGCGCGCAGAGAGCCTGGAAGAGAGACCTACCAGTGCCCGCGAACGAAAACGAAGGAAACGCGGACAGCGTAGGATCGCAGGTATACTGAAAGTACTCACAAAACGAGTGATCTCCTGAAGTGTAGAAGGTACGATTTTTTATGGCGGTCGGTATGGATCGGGAATATATATTGAACGGTCAAAGTTACATAACATGCTTAAAGTCAATAACTGGATCAAGAGTAAAACACCCAGGAAAGAAGGAACTCAAGAGAGCACGAGATAAGTGTGACGTAGCGTGAGGCTACTCACGCGTTCACTGAGAACGGTATAGCGGTCAGGGTTAAGGCCGAAGCACCACAGCGAACGGAGCCAAAGTTTTTCAGAACCGCCTTACTGGCAAAGGACTTGCGAGGCCGCATAACTTGAAAGATTACTCTTCCATGTCTGATAGCCTGCTCTAGTCCCTAATGATCAACCGAAACGCTTACGACTAAAAAATAAGTGTTTTCAAGCTTAGATCAGAATAGGCTGGAGTACCTAAAAGGTGGGAAATATAGCTCCGACACATCATCGTGTGAATTAGGCTACAGATGGCTACCAAAGGATTTGCTCAACACTGCATCACCAAGGCCTGGAAAGTCGGGCCATAAGAAAAACAACTTACACCAGATAGTGAGGTTCGCGCACAGGTGCAAGCCTTTTCAATGGCAGCACGATACTTCGCAAAGTCGGAGTTTTCAGGTAGGTCATCGAGACGACAGATGCAGTGGGCAAAACGAGAACCCTCTCCGGATAGAAAGAGGGTGTCAAGGGACTCGGTAATCTGCACAGGGAAGAAGAAGCAGGAAACAAAGATTGTAATGACCGCAAAAGACACGCACATTCGGCTAGTACCATCACGCGGGACCTCGAGAGCGGCTCAAAGATTACGGAAAGCCATGGTGGCCACATTATGATGGAGCTATTGCAGTTTGACTCTCAGACCACCAGTCCGCCACTTCCCATATACGGGCCGACTGCGAGGCCCAAGTTACCCCGTCAATTGGCAGCCCTCCAAGCGTCCGAAAGGGAAGGAGACCGTGGGCTACCGTGCCCACGGTCTTTATACCCAACGAGAGCGCGAACGCTGTCACCGCCAGAGAATCAGGTGCCCGAGAACTGTCGGAGCACACACCAGGCTGCGAGCGCCATGGTTTGCTGAAGCGTGGCATAGCATACGTACAAAATCCTTAAAGACGAAGTACAAATAACACATACACTGACACTTCGGTCACGACTAGGCAAAAGATGCGTACGCTCAATTTTAATGCTGAATATTGGTGAATTTAACTTTCTCCATCTGTAGTTTGGAATAAAATGCAGAAAGGCCTCAGCAACACTGCGTACAAGTCAGTGTCACGTGTAATCGTCATGCTCAGCAAAAAAAGGTTACTAATAGAGAATTTGTTTATCGGATACAAATAATGGTACTGCAAACTCCTCGCTCAAGTGCCACCGAATTGACCAGGAGACCTAGGAACCGCTTCTTCACAATCGGCAAAGAGGCAAGCATGAAAAACTACAATGTCACGCACAAAACCACCAAGACCTAACTCCATCACCCACCCCATAGGCTAAGGTCTTGATGGGCCTTCTTGGAGACCCTCAGATTCGCCCCAAGTCCGAAGGGCCAAACCACCCCCACCTGCCATCACGTTAAAACTATATGCCAGTCACGGCTCTTCCTGGTCGGACACAAAACACCAGAACACAGCGGACAACCATCAGCAGGGTCTCAACTGTGAGTGCACATCCTAATCACAAATAGTTTTAGTCGAGTATCTGCGAATTTGTCTCATTAGGGCTAAAATAAATCAGTGTTAGGAGTTTCAGTAAACATCTCTCAAGTCCGCCCTTCTCACTTGCATATTTAGCCATTGAATTAACCTATTCAATCATATGCGCACATGTTAAAACCTCACCCATCGCTCATGCGCTAATTCCACTGTCAGGTTTGCTGACACCGGTAATGACGGGCGACCATCATGCGTGTGCAGTTGTGGGCACCGGTGGCACGCATTAAACGGGGCTCTAAGCAGTAGCAGTTTCCGAGCCCAACCTCATCATCAATCGACCGCCAAGTCCGGGTAGGTCACTGGTTAGTAGGAAGGGTACGGGAAGGCGAAACCGATTCTGAGGGATACTCTTTCGTAGTAGGTCACTGCATCGTTCAATATAATAAACGTTATACACTCAAAAACAATCATTGTGGAAGAAGTGACGTCGCTTGCAGAATTGCCGGTTGACGGGATGGGTCGACCCTCCCCTGGAATGGAACAGACTGCGAGGGCTCCCCAAGGCAGCCTCTGTGGCAAATCACACACATTTGGTTATCTAACCCATGAAATATGCGGAAATTAACGAACAATGATTAACTAATCTGAAATTAATGAGAACGCATCCACGAAAGTACCAAATTAGTAACGAACGCTAAGAAGATTTCGCTGTATGCGAGACCCAAGCTAGAGTGGAACACATTCCAGACAAAGGATTTACGTCATGCTATCCACTACGCCACAAACCGTTCTACTTGGCTTGACCTATACCGGTGATCAGCGCATAAAAATTAAACCTGACCAGGAGTCGGCAAGTAGTTTCCATATTGTGAAAAAATCAATGCGGTGACGGTCGCAGATTCGGAGATTCCTCTTTGCCGTAATAAGTCGATCCAATTTAATACTGAAAGTCAGCATGTACACCACACATTTTTTACGTTGTAAATAGGGTACTCAAAGGCTTACGCCTATTTCCCTCAATAAACTGAACTGAACTGAACTGAACTCTTTACTGCACCCTCGTTTATACGAGATTTGAGACTCGTCTGTCGAGGCTTATCACGTATGGATTTGGAGATTAGGTCGTGTTTGGTGGGCGTAGACGGGCTGTTTGTCTGGCAACTAAGGAGTACGTATATTTACCGACATTGGAACTTTGTGAGTTTGCGAACAGTGGGTGGTGTGGGTGCTGCATAAGGGAAAGTCCCGGCGGAAGTCTGTTGCGTTTCTGTAGTTCGAGACGGACAAACTACCGTTGGGTATAAAGGAATTCGCAATAACAATGATGTCCGAAAAAGCTACAGGGCGTAGTCAAAAATGTTGGTCTCTCTTTGAGACAGAAGACAAGAAAATAACCGAGAATTTATTGTCTACGCAACGCTAATAATGATGGTCTAATGGACGACTAAGGGCGCCGCTGATGCAATTTGACCAGAAAGGGTGGTATTAACTCGGCATTTAAGTTATAAGTAAAATGAGCAAAACCCACCTTCGTGTGTATGAGTCCCCAGTAGCCGCTTGACTTATCGCCAACGCGGCAACGCAGCTCGACAAGTAGGTAGACTGAGCAATTGTGCCACTGGCACTCGATCTACAAAACAACAAAAACATCAGAACTAAATCTAAGGTTCCCAGAGTAGAATTCGATCTGTTCCCTAGACGACAAAAGCACAGGCTTCCTGTAGACCATCGGTGAGAAGAACGAGACTAACTAGAAATTTTCAAATTCACGTAGCCAAATCCTCAAATAAAGTGAGCACTAGTTCGAATTCCCTTAGCTCACGAGTGAGAGTCTCGAGTTAACAATATCGTCAGTGAGGAATCAACTCTGCGAACAGTCAGTCAGTGCAGCGCCTGCTATATTGCGGCAAGTTGCATTCTTATGGTAGCGTAAAGTATCAACTGAATTTTCGGATTCTTGAGAGAGACGACTATAGAAGACTGAAAAAGTGCCAGACACAATGCATTTACATCAAGTTCGTTACTGAGGGGAGCTGCGAAGCGCCCGATGTGGGTGAGGCCTGCTCGGCAAGTAATTGATGACTTCTGAATGCCAGGTCTTTTGTGAAGCTCCGAAAACTCTCTATCCTGAGTAGATCCTGCGCGATCTTTCCTGGCTACAACGCATCTGACTCGCTTTGGAGCAATTTTGGCGTCTTAGTTGTCGTGTCTTTGGGTGGAATAATTCAGTCATTTGGACTGCAAAGGCTACTTCTTGCGAGGCGACACTCAAGTTAATGGAAGCCTGTTACTGTGATTAAAGGGATCATTATGTGTGAGGAAGGCATCGACGGGCATTACCCTAGGTCGGCCAATACGCTCATGGACAGTTCGACCCTCGTTGCCGACTATGTCCACCGAACACGCAGTCGTTTTGGCAATGCCCTGTCATAAGAACGCGATGGATGTTGTGGAAGATAGAGATCCAGACACCGTAAGCACCCCCACTGCAGTTTAAATCACACGCGGGCCACCTCTACCTAACTAGACAACGGCGATTGTCGTCGAGTATTACGGACGAGGTGTCCGACACTTGCCTCCATTCACAAAAATGCAATAGCCGGAACGTTTTGAATAATCCTATTTCACCGGATATGCTTAACCAACATAACCTGACAATTAAACTGGGTCAACTCATCACAATCTGACAGTAAGCATCTAACACCTGTTGTTACCACAGCTGAGATCAAAGAGAATCAGGTTTTACAATACACTCATCCTATAATTTTCACCTCCTCCTATTTGGCACAAGGGAATACAAGTGAGGACTTTTGAAACCCACATTCAAACCAAACTCAGCCTAGAAACATCATTTTTGTCTTCGAAAAACATCCTCAAGACACGGATTGGAATCGGATTCCAGTTAGGAAACATCCCGAACAAATTTAACCAAACAGTTGACCTTCTCCAATAAAGTCAGTAAGATGTTTCACTCTGAGGCTACGTGGACGCTAAAAGAGCTCAAAGCCTAGAAATGCAAAACAGGGGTCGGTGGTTCGAGTTGCTTCCACAGTAAGTGGTTGAGGAGCAGGGCCTTCAGTGTCGCGTACAAAACCAATAAATCAACATTCTCGCTATCAGATAAACCTCCGAGATTCAGAAATCAAGCAAATACCTGGTTTTATATCTCCTTACCGTAGACACTGTTTAATTTACCGTAAGCAACTGATGACTAGCCAAATAATAGCAAATTTTCTTTTTTGTTTAGTGGTGCTAATTAATAACGGCGTCAACTGAATACAATCTCTAAGAAACGGGTTTTCGCGATAACTGATCAATTGAGCAATTTCGCAGCTTTCGTTGGTGTTGGATTATTGTGCTTAGGTCTGAAAATAGAGGCGCGGTCTCTTTCTCTTTCTCTCTCTCTCTCTCTCCTCGCTCACTCACTCACTTAATTGAAGGCACACATAAGGTACAGCCATGAGGAACCACCGAACCGTCAAACTACTTTAAGTCGGGAACGGTTGGTAGGGAAATAAGACCCACCTCTTTATTCTTGGACGGTTCTTCAGCAATGCGGGTCAGAATTTCCGATAGAGATATAATCAAGAGGGCCAGTGACCTACAGTCCTCACTAGAAATAAGAAAAAATGCGAAGACCAAGGATTAAGTAAAGTCATGGGTGAAGGTGTCGAGACAGTCATCTAACGACGAAGTCCAACTTTGTTCCGTAGACTGTTCACTCCTCCCGATTTTCCTGAAAACCACATGCTCAAATAAGGTCCTCAAAATACTGCGCGTGGTGTATATAATCAAGCTAGTTCTCCAGTAATGACACAAAAAGAATGAATCATCGAGGAGTGGTAGACAACCAGAAACTTAAAAGACCAAGGCACTTTTACTGCATTAGACCACGAAAACGCTTACTAAGACCAGGTAAAGGAAGAAAATCCACAGTAATGCGCGGCAAAGAGTAAGAAAGTTCAGTCAACAGAGAAATAACTAGACAATGTGGGAACTTTGTTTTGGATATTCTAAAAACCTTTGTTGATTACGGCGCGACAGAGGGTGGCAAGTTAAGCGAGAAATAAAAGGGCAAACACTCACACAAGCATCTGGGCCTCAAGCAAGTCGAGGAAGCTCAGCACTAGGCGACTGGCAAAGGCGTCGCGCAGTCGCGCGATCCGCTTGGGATCAGCAGAGGGTGCGGCGTACAGGAAGTGGACGAGAAAGCGCATAATGCCCAGCCATATGCAGATGCGAGCTCTTTCGCCAGTGAAGACGTCCAAATAGGGAGTCGAGAAGGCAAAGGAGGCAGTAGGCAAGTCGAGGAACTTGTTGGCAACTTCTAGGAGTCCGTTTGTCACATCCTTACGCAGCCCGAGAGCAGGAGAATTTGTGAGAGAACTACTTTTACACACATGGCAATTTCTTTGCATGAAAAGCTCAGACTGTAGGAATCAATGATGAGGCAGTCACCCCAAGGGCAAAACCGAGAATTTTCTATCACATTTGCAATTTAGCCGTCATTACTATTCTGTCCATTGAGTGCTCTGGAACCCTCTATGCAGTCTGGTTATTTCCATACAGGAGCCAGCATGTGCATGATATGAGTGGGCGTGGATTCCGTCTCGGCGGCCACTACGCTTGAACCCATCTCTTCATTCGGTAATTTCGTTGGGATATAATGGGTTTTAGAAGTGAGGATGAGGGCAGTAGTTTGGAGGTCTGCTTCACTATTAAAAAGTTCGCGCGCAATGTCCAAACTCTGTTCCCGGGAAAGCGGTGATTTTCACCGTTTGCGACGAATTAACTACTATTCGCACAAAAAATTCACTGGAAGGCAAGCAGCTCAGCACAAGGCGATGACCTTTCGCTGGTTTCAACTGCACATATCCTCATTCAGGGATTAAAGATGCAGACGATAAGTTCAAGTCTGCGTGTATGCTTGTGCGAATTCACATTCTAGATAAGTTTCACCATGTGTTCCTCCATGGCTACTTAATCATCCACAGTAGCAAAAGGTTTCAGTTATTACAGTGCATTGAGTAGTTAGAGTAATGGGCGATTAATGTATACACACTGGTCTTCTAGGGCATCCCATAAGAATGCAGGCATTGCGGCCAGCAGGTAGCCTCCTGTAGTCGGGGGTGAACGACTGCGAGACCGGCTTAGGACAGCGTGAATGTTAAGTGGTGGAAGGTTCGGAATTCCGAGCGGTCTATTGTCTATTAGCGATCCTTGTAAACCACCCACTTCTCAAGGTAACGCAAATAATGACACCCGGCAAGCAGTCAAGACCGTACCGTTAAATAATGTCTTCGAAAGAAGAAAGTTTTTAGGTATCTGATAAAACGGCTCCCTCTGAAGAAGTCCTAAAGGAGTCGCAAAGGTGGCTAAAAAGTGACTTTGATCATGAGCGTTGCCCATACCAACAGCATAGCACTGAGGTCACATGCCCCACTGGTGAATGAGTCGCAGGGTAAAGATTGCTCTGGAACAGATAAATAAAGTCAATGAAACGATTCAAATTAGGGAGAAAGGTACGTTGTGAAGATATAAAGTTGGCAATACCAGGACGTACCCGTTGAAACTCAAAATCAAAGCTTGGTGCATTCCTGAAAAAGGCAGCAACATCCCTATGAAAATGCTGGAAGGTCCGTTTTTCTCCTTTTGAGCCGTGCTGGAGAACAATTTGGTCTTCCTCCGGTGAACGAGGGATAAACAGAAGTCCAAAGAGCTCAATAAGAAGGTGGGCAAGCGTGTGAGAAGTACCGTTGGCGTTACGAACAACGGGTGGATGAAGGATTGGTGAATGAAGAAGGATAATAGTTGCCATGTGAGTGGCAACTTCGGCGATAGACACAGCTGTCGATAATATCTTTGCAAACTGCTAGAAGAGAACAGGGGATAGACGACGTTTTGACAAAATAAAAGGCGTACCTGAATGTATTTTACAGTCTCAGCGGCGCCGTCGTTGAAGAGAATGCGAACAGCCACTTGCCAGGAAGAGGCTGGTTCACCCTTCGCTGGGAAGTTAGACGGTTGGTCAATAAGTACGAAGGCCTCAAAGGTCAATTTATGATTTCTGAAAGCGCGGGAGTTAAAAGGAGTCTGGCGACTGCAATTCGCAGACAACAGTGCGTTGTATGTTGAGTAACGCACAGCAAATGACTAACCTCTGGTAGTCCTCAAAGTCTTTAAATCCCCAGATGATGCAGGAGTCGTCAAAAGAAGGTTGAGCTTTGCATATTTGAGCAAAGTTGTCAGAAAGGTGCCTCATAATCATTGGCAGTAGAAGTGGGCGCAGGAAGGTTTCAAAGTAACTTAGATTATCGCCGGCCAACCGACAAAGAAGAATCTGTGCGGAAAGAGAAATAATGTGAACGATTCAAAACTGAGATTCGATTTGACGAGTTCGCCGTATGGAGGTAATGGGCGTAGGTAATGACTGCATAGCCAGTATAGGGGGAACATGTTGACAAGAACCAGTCTAATTTTCTGATAACGCGCAATAACTAAACTCTACGTGTGATAGGGGACAACTGTGTATTGAAAAGGAAACAAAATGGCTGTGAAGTACGATGTGTGAAGGACATTTACAGGATACATGTGCTCAGGCGGAAAATCCGACATAGTTGAAAGGCAGGTGTACATTGGACCAGAATAATAACAGTTTACTGTGTTTTCGTGCGAAAGTTCATAATACAACCATAGCTTTCAAAAACGAAGCTAAGACATCTACGACCTGTAGTCTATCAACAAGCGCAATGACTTCCCCTCGATATTACAAGAGACATACCACAACGTCCCCGTTAACCAGTACATAATTGGCTCTCTAAGCGACTGAAGACCTGTGGCATGAGGACTAATACAGTCCTGTTGAGCACGATGACAAGCTCAACTCTACACCGTTGAGTCCAGACTGAAAGACGTGAGTTTCCACATGTATGAACAGACGGTTAATGTTCCGATGCAGTGGTCTCACTTGCAAACTGACAGAAAAACACTCGTGAAGCGAAGAACGATTGGGGTTACCAGCCAAATGGCAATAAAGGAACCAACTATTGGAAACCCAACGGGATATAGAAAAAAGTGATCGTGGGAAAGAAAACAGTAAGCAAGGCAAGCGCTATTTAAAAACCAACAAACATGGAATGGAAGCACAATCGCTTGGATGACCTAGAATGAGACTTTTCTTTTGAAATCTAACCGTCGTCGGTCAAGGTGGAGACTCTGAAGTCTTAACCACAACTTCATACCTGAGGGCCTTCCTGTCACAATGAAAACGAAATCCCCCAATCATGTGAACATTGCACTGTCAAAGGTGTGGGGAAAACTGGCGTATCTTAATGGTAGGCGGGGTGGTTGGTTGGAAATTTGTTTTACGAAGGAGATATATCATCAAACGGCAGCAAAACACATGAACGCAAAATTTAAGTAATATCTAGAAGGACTGACCGACAAAGACGAGGGCCGACCGGCCGCTTATGGTGTATTAACCGTCGCCAGCCAGTCTTACTCAACCCCGAGTTTGTGGGACCTAAGATTGGGCTAAGTGAGGCTGACTGAGACGACGAATATTGTTGCCTTTAATTTCCTCAGAAATTAACTGCGAACTTGGAGTAGATCAGTATATTCTAGGGTCTATAGGCGCAGACCGAATATCTGGGCCAAAGCCACAGCCACAGGGGATAACCACGTAATATTCACAATCTGCTGACAGGCAGATAGTAGTATATTTTAGAGTCAGATGATAATAAGCCAGACATGACCGCCGGTACCCCCTTCGGCATATACCATTGGTCGCTGTGCGACTGCCTGCGAGAAGCAACAGGCCGAGCATGCTCGTGACCTAATCGGGGAAATCACTTCCAAAATACTGAAGCAAAATGTGTGGATGGGCTTAGGCGGCATCCTTCAGATACTCACAGAACACGATCAGGCCACCAAAAGCATGGCCTGATCAAGGAATGGGTGTCAGCTAACTTGCACATTATCGACGTGGATGGATCGAGCGTTACATCGCAACTGGCTAAGATTGGCACGTGGTCGTTTCGAAAGGTCTATATTTAACTCAGTCAAACAATCCAAGTTAGAAGCAGATGCTGTATTCATTGCGAGACTATTTGTTCCAAGTGATGAGGAGTATTCCAGTCTATCACAGTAAATTAATGTATGCCCAGGAGGCCAGATAATTCTGGTTATGGAAGGCAGTTGTCTGTTGTCAATAGAGCACTGGTCCAGGTTGCTCAGGAGTTCAAAGACCTGAAAACATGTTTGAAAGACGAAGTAATGTTTCAAATAGTGACATCAAATTACCGTATGCAAACAGTTGGAAGGACCGTGCAGGAAGCAGGCCGCCGAAAAACACCAGAGGGAAGATAAAACTCGTAGGGAAATGGGGATATTCGATAGAAATTAAACCACCTGCTTTGATAATCTACAAAAGTTTGCATGTTGAGACGCTTGGCATGAAAGAATTGCCAGTCAAAAGAGCAGATTCACTTGCTCGATGGGAGAAGGCAATGCAAATAGGCCTTTAGACGGGTTACAACCACGACTATAACGAAAAACTAACCTTCCGAACCAGGACTTTAAGGGAATTTTCCCTTCCTATGTGACATAGACGAATTGTCTGCGAGCAAATGCTGATAGCGGCGGAGATCAATGGGTTCGAATGCGAGAGTAGTCGTCTATCACGGTCGGCAAACCCCTCTGCCTCAATACAGTCCAGGAGGGACTTGGGGGACCCCTCGGTAGGGCACTCCAGTTGAGCACGCTCCTGATGCTGCCCAGAAAGGACCACGACCTGGAGCAGGATGTCTGCTAACTCCAAACGCAGAATGACCTGTTCCAGGAAGTTTGTTCCGAGGAACCGCCCATCTGAAATTGGACTGGGATCGCTCGGAAGTACGAAGAGCTCACAGAAGTCGAGGTTGTGAAGGAAATTTACCAGGCTGTGCGCCATGGCAACACCTGCTCGGTCGCAGGATACGAGTTTGGTGAGGCTAAAAAAAGACAGCCGAAACTCAGAACTATGATATTCCTGAGGTCAAAACAACAAAGCTTATCAACACTTCGTCACATTCTCTGCTGCGGTTCCAGAGGACACGAGCCCACCTTAAGGGTCCTCGTGACAAAACGGAATGTTAATAATTTTCTTGACGGCGATACGGAGCTCACATTTCCTCGTGCCCGTGCTATGCAATTTCTTGGGTTTATTCACGTTGGTAGCCGAAAGACGCCGGGCTTGATTTTAATGTCGGTTTTTGGAGAAAAAATTCCTCTCTAAAGCCCTGAAAATCAAACAGCTCGAGCAATCACAGAGTCGATCGCCAACAGGCTTTTAGAACATTCGGCCACTTTCTGGACATGGAGGAGGCGCAAATTAATGTTGACCGAGAATGTCAAGCAGAAGTCAGATAAAGAAGCCCATTTAAACGCCAGTATTTTCTCTGTCGTTCGTTCATCGACGATACAGCCAAATAAAGGTGTAGAATGTCAGAATAATAAACGGTCTGCCACTTGGCGCCACTTCCCCTGTTTCTTCTGCTTGCCCAAGATAAGTGGCTGCTGGGTGGTAGCGCACTCGATGCAACATGATTATTTGACATCTGTGGCTTCGGAAACCTGCGTACGTGTTGCTAAAGACAGATAACGCGGACAATTTTCACTCAGTCATAAAAGAAAAGTATTTCCTGGACGGTCACTTCGGGAAGAGGATCGGGATTAGAAACAGGTGGTTTGTTAATGAGCTCTATTACAGTTGGAGTTTAGGGGGTTTCCAGTTGTAGGTCCAAGTGATGGTCGTAGTAGGTCGCTCACTTGCTTTCAGGTCTAGACTACGCCTTGCGTTCATTAACTGACACCCGTCATCGCTGGCCGGATGGATCACCGTCTCGGTATTTCCGGCTCCGTCTTAAACCCACATGCCCTCAGCAAGCTACTCAGCCAGTGGATGGAAGACCGGCTCCTTCTACTGCTTCGCACCTATTCTCCGCCCTCCTCTGTCCCTCGTTCTCTCTACTCTACTCTATTCTCTTGTTCCATGGCCAAAAGTCTCACGGATCATCACATCGCCACCTTCGAGATGAAACTTCGTCTGCAAACCAGCAGGAGGCAACAAGTTAAGTGACCCCTCAACCCCCTCCCCCCCCGGGAAAGTCAAATTTTACTTCGTTGCCTTTGCATTCCGTTTGTTCTTGCCCTTTCTATTTGTTTGTGTTTGTCCTTGTTGTAGGCAAAATAACGCTCAGTTGAATTTGTCTGTTCATCATTTATATTTCAGTAACCAGTCAGCTTAGAGGGGCGGAAAACTCTGCTTCCCGTCTATCTACCACTCACTCCACTCAAAAATTCTACGACGAGAGCGACTGCGATCGCGTAGGCGACGCAGGCTAACTCGGGTTGTCCACCCACTAAACAAAGTCGTGGCCCATTGTGGCCAAAGCCACAGCCACAGGGGATAACCGCGTAATATTCACAATCTGCTGACGGCCAGGCTACCGCATGGCCACTTGTTACCCTTCTGGGCCTAAAGGTCTGAAAGTGTCTGCTATGCTAGGATCAGCAAACCCTGGCCCTCACAGTCTGATATGCGCGGGCGGTTCTCTGGCACCTAGTTCCCTGCCGGTAGATGCACTGCGGTCCCGCTGGGTATACATGTCATGGGCATAGCTGCCCAGTCACCCTTGTCTCCACAGCTGTCTTTGTCGTTGTTGTTTTTGATGATGATGATGATGATGATGATGATGATGATGATGATGATGATGATGATGATGATGATGATGATGATGATGATGATGATGATGATATTGGTTAAAAGCCTGTTCATGTGCTGTGTGACCAAGGGGTGTGGTGGTACGCCTAGGCGCGGACCCGGCCGTGCCATCCACCTGCCCCTTCCTCCGCCTCCGGTCTTCTTGACACTCTCCTGACACCGGGCTCAGGTGCGGAGTAGGATAGTGTGGTAGATGCTGTACAAACTTACTACCACTATAAACTAACTCACGCACAAGTCACCGTGCCTGCTGCACTTTGCTGTGGAGCACACGGTAGCCATTGCCGGCAACGACGGTCGAACTATCACAACCATTCGTTGACGCTTGTCGCGGAGGCCAGGTGATGAGATTGAGGGTACGACTGTGTCGGTTTAAAGATCTAGCCTTCGAGAGACAGCACTTTGCTATTCCTTTGGTCGTCAGTTATGGCCCTGTCCTGGTCGAAAGGAATATCCCACTTTCGAGGTATGATATAACGCAAGCCCAGATATTGGGATCGGTTGAGTGTTCAGGCAACTAGCGTGTGTAAATATATATGAATCCGTACGTGTCCCTTACATTCTACTAGACAAGTACAATCCCGCAACTGCAATCTACTTGGAAAAATGGGTCATTTATTTCTCCCGCAAGGGAGACATACCTGGACTAAATGATCAACTGGAACCAAGGCTTGAAGCATCAGCGAATATTATCGTACACTTTTGAAATGGACAAATAGTACTGCTGATCGTCAGAAAACTGCCGGATTAGTTTTGTTTAAGGGTTTTCTTTCAGTTGGCTAGGTGACAAAATGTTACTTACGCAACTATTAGGTGAGGGGAGATGCGAAAGCGGTTGCTATACTGACGTGCCGAACAGGCTCGTATGTTTTATAGGCTGAGTAAAAAAACAAAAGGGGGTCGCACGGGTACAGGTATGTTTGGCTATGCCAATACCTGGCGTACGAAGCATGTATGAACGTCTTGGTGAAGAACGAGGAACGAAAAGCCTAGCACTTTCTAGTCCGGCTCCTTCCACTAAACCAAACAAAGCTGTTGCATCTGCACCTACATTTCTGTGCTCCCCCACTTCATTCCCAACGATCATCTATTGCTAGTGAAACGAAAAACTGAATGAAAGGTTCGAATACGTAGGCAAAACTGACTCTTTAGTCAAGAGACGGATCCGTCCGAGTAAATCTTAAAAACCGCGCGAGTAGTTCAGATGTTTTACCAAAAGCGGCCGTCAGTGATGTCAGCGATTCAAAGGAGCGAACGGCGGAACGGCTGCCGACCGTTGTATACGGAACAGATAGGCCAATAACCTGAGAGCATCTGCGGATAAGATTCGCAAAGAAAAAGCGCAAGTGAAGGGCAACAGAAGATCCTGCAGTTGTAAACTAGAAGCGTTCTACAAGTAATCACTGGCTGATCACAGTATCTTCTAGTTCAAACTTTGCAAACAGAGGGTATACCAACAAAGTGGGGCAACGTTTTCTTCGTGCTGATCTTCGAAGGCAGCGGATGACTGTAGGAGACCTACCGTGACCTATGCCCCCTTTATATGGCCTACGAGCTTGGTCTTGTCCATTTGTGATCGATCATGCCATCTGGTGGCATACCATTGAAGTAAAAACGATCTTTTCGCAGCCACCATAACAGAGCAAGAAGCACAGTGTATGTGAAAGGCGAGGAGAGTCACTTATTTGATGCTGCCTCCAGTGCCCACCAGGATTGTGGACCATAAGCAATTCTATACAGCTGCGTGACACACCGGGTTTTTCCGCAGGCGCCGAAGTACATCCTGGTAGTACGGAAGGTTTTGGTTTATGTGTTAGCGACCTTAACTATGTTGAACAAAGATGGCGGTCGACGACAACGCTGTCGATGATGGAGAAACTCCAACTAACCCTAATCCTGTTTCTCAAGCCCGCTCTCGCAGCACAGGCGGTTATCGGACCGCAGCTGGTGCGCCTAGTGCAAATCTGTGAGGCCACAAATGGAAACTGTGCGGCAGAAGGGGCGAGGATGGAACGGACACGTCATGCAACCTTTGCACTTGGTTGACTACCCACCCTTCTCGATTATGCTATAAAAAACGCACCTGTGCAGCATGAAGTGCATCTGCAAAACAGTCCGGGGGTTCCCTTGCTTCAAGAAGAGCTGAAGAGGTACCTTGGCATTCGTCTCCGTCAGTAGCCCAGCCGAGTGCAACTATGGGAGGTTAAAGTAAGGCATGAGCAAGACAGTCAGCCGCTATGGAAGTATTAAATGTCAGATAGGCTTAAGTAAGCAAAATTAGACGTTCCAAAGTGAAATTCTTTGACGCCACAAAAATACATTTGTTCACACTTGATAGCTCCACGCAGCCAATTTTAGCACTAACTTTTTAAGATGAAAGCACAGGAGATTCCAAAGGTATTTGTGGTATTGATAGAATTCTCTATTTCGCCAGTCGCGCAAGCCCTTGTTACTGACAAATGGAAAACCAATCAGTCGGCACGTCGACCTACAAATCTATGACATCTGGCTTCCTTGCCTAAACCGAACGGTGTTGACTGGGAGAGGCCAAATTTTGAAGACAACGCCTGGCAGTCCAATTGCTGCTGGCCAATGAAAAGGAAAGTGTGTTACACCAAGAGGGAGTGCAATAATAAGTAGATATCACTGTCGGTCAACAACCAGGCGCCTATGGCCAGCACTACAACGATAGTCTGTCCATCACGATCATGGGGTGCAGTGCCGACTTGAGTTTCTGTTGATCTTGTAAGGACACTTAACACAGCTGATTCGGTCAGCCCCGTGTTCACGTTGGCCGCGTCAGGAGTTATCGCTTTCTATTGCAACCGGCCAGCTGCAGGCTCCCAGTGAAGTTGCGCCCATTGACGTGCCAAAATCGCACTCCCAGAAATGCACCCAAGAACAGCTTTCATCACGTCCAACTACGCTTTCAGTCGGTCAGCTCGACGCCATCACCAACCAGGGCTGCGCCTGGGAGAGATGACATCGCCGGCGAATCCGCCCTCTGTTCGAAGTAACACATGGCATGCAAGTACTGAGAGCGGAATTGTCAGACTGCGCGCTTGTTCGAGCTGAAACTAATCAAAAGATGAAAGTAAGGTCGGCAGACGCGAAGGAGAATAAGGCGAGGAAGGGCTCTCTACAGAGTTGCGTAAGTAGCTTAGGCAACATGATCGGTCCAGCGTCAGAGTATGAAACCGCCCAACGGCGCATCTACCAACGCGGCCAGAGTGATAAGAGCAAATTTCCCCAGGACAACGGCAACCCCAATCCTCAGACCCCTTCTATCTTCATGCGCACTTTGCGCGTGGTAATTAAGAAGTGCAAGGCGGAGTCCAGCGATACCAATATGTGGAAAAAGATATATTGTACAATGGCTGATTGGGTTTTCAAAGCAACAAAATACCTGAATAAGGGCGCGCACTGTGAGCGAGAATGCGTGAACCAAGGCGGGCGGTGCGGCCCCTTGAGTCAACTGAGGCCATTGGTTGCCGCCAGCCGCCCAGGCGGTCTCAGTTAAGCGAAGTACTTGGAGAGCTACCTGCTGCCAGATGGGCCCCAAGAGGGGTGAAAGACGATGAGCCATTGCAGCCAAGGAGCAGCCAAACATGCCTAGGCAACGCACAAATGCAAGGAAGAAGGACCAGCGTTTGAGCAGCAGTTGAGATTTGATGGCTTCCCTCAGGGAGTCCAGAAGGACGCAGAAGAGCCCCAAAAGGGGCGGCCCATGACAGTCCTGTAAGGGCGCCGAAGAAGCAGCGAGTTCAGAGGCAGTGCAAAAGGCGCAAAGCAGGCTGAGAAACCAAAAGACGTCTTCTTGACGTCGCCAGGGGACCCTTGTTTCTACCAGTACCTTTAGAGCTGTACCACAAGAATTTAGGACGGTTTCACTGGGTGAGAAGAAGAGATGAGTAAAGAGACAGGGTTCGCAATCGGTAGAATCGGGCACGGCAGAAGTGTCATCTTCCACCTCTTCTAACTGCATGCTTGTCACTCCCCTGGCCTGAGATGCCGATGGACAGTTTTCAAGATCCTCAGTGTCAAATAGGTCAGCAAAGGTCTGCGTTGGATTTCCTCTGGTCGACGCCTCAATCGGCTGTGCCCTCTGCTGGGTCGGGTAACCCAGACATAATTTCAGTATTTCCTCCACCTGAGATGCACGGCGACTGCACACGTTAGGAGCCCGGGCAAGGAGGGCCAGTAGGCGGGAGGAGATACAGCGTCGGGGACGACACACGTCGGCACCGTAAGCTCTGTCTTCTACCAGGCTAGCTAGCAGAGTTTCAACTTCCTTGTCGTTATTGTGTGGGATATGAGCGAAGAGAGTCTCGAGGTGGAGCTTCAGAGTTCGTGCAAGCAGAACTTGGGGGCTTTGCCCGGCTGTTTGAAAGCTATTTAGTCGCGAACAGATGCTTTGCACTACTGAATGCAGGTGTCGCTGTCCAAAGAGGGGATAGGGAGCCTTCCTTGGCTGTGAGACCGGGAAGGCGTTATTTGGAGGGCTAATAAAGTGATCCGAAAAGAGGACTGGGAGACTCCAACAAAGCGCAGCCTGTACAAGGAGGTAGGTGGCTGTTGTGCAATGCGTGAGATTGTCAAGAAGGAGAACCAGAGGCGGACAGCAAACATACGTATCCCAATTAGGCGCGGGAACATGAAGTGAGGCCACAGCAGCCAGACTATCACGGGGCCAAAGGTGATGTATGCGGACGGCCAGTCGATAGCGCCAGGGCAGAACAGCTGGAAAGCCCGGAGGCAGGAAAACAGGTGTACGGAGCAACAGTGGCCATAACCTTCGTATGAGATCAGTTCGATTAGGGGGGACCGAGTCATCTGTAGAGTAATAAAGAATTGCACAGAAGTGTTAGCAGGCAGTTTACTGGTTGGGTAAAACTTTCAGTCGAAGTGCCGACCGAGAAAGGTGTGCTAAGCAGTCACAAGCAGATAAGACTAGTCAAGTATGTGGGGTCTGCAGACTTGACCAGTATTCACGCTGTCCGAGAGAGGTTGGTCGGCGATAGATGCAGAAAGCCGCATTGGAAAGGGGGATGGGCAGTTATCGAGGAGTACGTCTCCCGGCACAGTGATTCAAAATGAGAACTATGTGAATTCCATTTCAGTGTGTGCGTAAAAAGTGGACAGCCATTGTATAAATCCCATAGGCTTTGATGTGAGTGTGCCTCAGGCGCTGAGATAAGGATGTAAGAAAGCATTGCCGGCGTAGATAAGATCATGAGGAACTTAGCAGTGGAAATCCGCCCAGTCAACCCAAAGAGTATGCCGTATTCAACCGTGCGGCAGGTGTGCCTGCTTTGAGTAATTAAAGTATGCATTTTCCATAAATAATAACAGCTAGGCGGTAGCCAAATCACAATAGATGGGTCAGTATGGTATTGACTTTCCGGTTATTAGATCACAATGCGGGGGAAAATTTGGCAGCTCGTCAATACCATAGTTGAACTTTGTGCACAGTCGGCCACTTCCGAATACGCATCCATGAAAAAGGACTCTTGCAGGGAGTGTGAAACGTTAGGCTGATAAATATTATTTCTAATGCAACGTTGTCCCTTCAACTCATAGGGGAACAGAAGTGCACTGCATACGCTCTACCATTAGTAACAAACAGACTGCGATCTTTAACAATAAGGAAGCTAACCATAGGGGCATATTGTAATACTCTCTGCAGCACTACTTAGAGCACTACAGCAGGGAAGCAAGTTAAATGCAGATGATCTTTTAGAATAAACTGATGCTCGTAGCGGTTATAAAAGTGCACTGAAGTACCTTCGACCGCATCCGCAACTGAAGAGTCCAGTTCGACAAGACAGGAAAGGAGCTGACACAAAAGACGATCCTGTAGGAGTGCGCGTCTAGAGGTGCCTGCAGAGCTAGAAGAGTCGCTGGCGGCAGGCGTAGGGTGGCCACGTGCTAGCTGTTCCAGCCACCTGTGATGTGCAAGGAGTATAAGGTTAAAGATAACTTGAAGCGTTCAAAATTTTTTGAAATATGAAATACCTCAGGCTGTAGTGCGAACAAAAAGGACAAGGAAATGTGACTATGTGCCTCACTTTTTGATCTTCCAGGAATCTAAATTTAAAAAAGGCATAACAGACACCAGAATAGGAATAGGAACCTACTCAACGGCTTTGTTCCAAATCGCTTCAACATCTGATGCCGAGTTTCCGGAGAAAGTTGAAAGGCCAAAACGCTTTACGCATGCGGTTGCCGCGGAAACCGCCGAGACGAGAGCGGAAATAGCGCAATCGACTGCGAGTGGGCTAAAAAAAGAAAGTCCAACTACTCAGTCTGTACAAGTAGGCATAAAATGGAGACGATGAGCTGGCGGACGGTCGTGGGACCACATGCGTGCTATGATTAACAGCCCTCGCGATCATCGTTTGGGGACCGTAATGGATGCGATATTGGCTCGTCAATCCGCGTCCGAGTCGTTAACTGCCCGATTTCATCATCCGTGTTCGATGCTGGAGTGATGATGACTCGGCAACTTGGCTCGTTGTCACCAGGATCGTTCCTCGTCCCCGCTCCTCTCCACGGGACTGATTGCCTTGCCGGGGAAAAATCTCAACGCCAAAAGTGGTAGCAGGGGGTCATTGAGTCTGTTGATGGATTGCGGGTCGCAGAACCATAACTCGAGCAGTGGAGATCAACGACTCAGACGCGGACTGACAAACTATCATCGCACCAATTACGGCCCCCTAGCGGTGATCGCAAGGGCTGTTAATTATAGTACACATTCGGTCCCAGGGTAGCTACGTACTATAAATACTGCACTCGTGCCCCCACTACCCTTATCTGCGACTGTCTCTGATGATGGGTTCGAATGAGAATCCGAAACGTCAGGCCAATAAATTTTTGTCCCAGTGATCGCGTCTTCGTCTTCTGAACCGCTTCCTGGAACTCGTCAGTTTGCTTATGTGGGCTACCAGCGAGCTTTTGTTAAGTAAAGACGAAAAACAATGGGCGCGGTGGGCAGGTTGATGTAGCGGCTGACGCAGCGATCGATTGAAAACCACGACTCTTGAGGGCGTTATATTGTGAGATCTTAGCCTCTGGTCACCAAATGGACTGCTCTAAAGTTGAGATTATGCCCTAATTGAGAGGAACGTGTTATCACCTGTGCTTTTGGTCGTAATCTTCATTCCGCTAGCTCTTGTTAGTGCATCCATTTCCTTAGTATGCCGAATCTTTCGGTCTCAGAATATGGGTAGCCTAAATAGTTGCTTGAAGTGCATTTTATCCAGGTTGTGAGCAGCAACTTGGGACAGCAGGACGCCTCTTCGAACGATTCGTTTACATTCGCGTGTTTATCAACTGGGCGGTCGTGCTGTCCGGTCTGTATGATGGCAAAGACAGCTGTGGTAGGTAATTTGACAAACTACACCGGACTGCTCCCCTGTATGCAGGTGGTCCTCTTCCTTTATCTGCATGACCGTGGTACGGACGACAGCTGTCGGACGAGGGGTGATACTCATTTCAAACTCCGCGGTGTTGCGTAGTGTTGCTCCTCATACAGTTTTTTAAATACGGTAAATGGTGTTGGTGCTGATGACTCTTTCCAACAACTTATAATGTTGACTCAGTGGCCATTCCTTGTTCGTTGGTCCTATAGATGCCGCAGTCTGCATCCATCCCCATGGGTCACTGTAGTACGGTTTCGCTCTGTGGAAACGCCTCCTAACAGAGTCACGTTTGTGCTTTATTGGTTGGCTGCCACGATCCCCGGGTAGTTGGGTTTGGTTATTCGCCTTTCGATACACAGCGGTGTCAACCTTATAGTTAGATCTGCGCCTGACGAGAACGTCAAAAAGGCAGCCGTCGGACCTTCTCTTCCTCGCCCGCGTGAACTGAATTCCGAGGAAAATGCCGTTAGGCAGTTCATTAAGGCCTGATAGCCTGCGCCGCCTAATTATAGCGAGCGTACTACATACGCATCGGCGCCAATAAGTAGGTTCATAGGGCTTGAAAGCGAACAGCTAGACTGGAGAGCGGGGAACACATCAGCGTTACTTTGACGTGCTCGTGTGCTCTGCCATTGAAGGTGAAAAAGGTGTAGGAAGTCTCACTAAATGCTCGACTTATAGAAGTTCTCTTTGTGCTATCGTTGTTTCCTTCAGGACGCCTGCGCAGAACACCGTGTGTTAGGTCCGGTGGGGTGGATGTGAATAGTGTGGTCGCGTTGAATGATACGATAATTTAGTCAGGTTAGGCAGTCTGCCTCTTCTCTCCCAGCGTTGTCAGACTAAAAACTGCTTGTGTATGGACCTTCCACAGTCTCCGACGATTGGCGCCTTTACAAGTCCGGGAGTTCATGTTAGTGTAGGTGCCGTCCCGGTGTAACAAGAACCTGGGACTCGCATATTCGCACCCTGTTCGACATTTCTGTGTGTCTAATGACGACTCAGTCACAACTTCATCATTTTATCGCACAGGGCCGATGAGAAATTGTTTAAAACCCTACGTATTTTCGTAGGCTGGTCTTTAAAATTAGCAAATTTACATTTAAGCCAAATAGTCAAAATGAGAAGGTTGGCCATGAATGTGAGAAATGAGGTAGGGTTGTGACTTACTGGCGAACAGATTTTACTACGACTGCGGCTGAATGCAGCATGGCCGGGGAGTCAACAGAGGAAGGCGAACCACAAGCGCACGCACACTGCCAATTAAGTCGGCAGATCCAGTCAAAAACCGGCCACCTGAAGATGGAGGGAGCAAAAAGGGATAATTATTATCATTGTTCACATACCACAGTAAAACCTGCCTTACTTGGAAGGGACTACTACTAGTAGTAGTATCATTACCACCGCCACTACTACTACTACTACTACTACTACTACTACTACTCTAGGGGTTTAGGGGTGTCCAGTTTTGGGGCCATATGAACATCGTACCAGGTCGCTTCAGTCGCTTACTTAGCGTCTATTAACTGGCACCCACAATTCACATGTGGCTCCCCAAAGGTAAAATATGCCTAGCGGCCACACTCCGGTAACTGTCTCGACCGGCGGGCTAAACTGGGTGAGAGTATCCTGTGTTTGTGTCCCGACACCTGGTAATTCCGTCTGCTTTCCGATCCCCCCCCCTCCGTCCACTTCAAAAAGTCCTACGGAGAGGGCGACATGCAATCACGCAGGCGGTCCGGGCTAACTCGGGCCCCACACCACAAAACAAAGACGTGGACCGTGGTGGAGTTCGGCAGCCGTCTGAGATGTCGAAGCAGCCATCTTCGGGGAGACAAATTCGCTACTATCGTCAGCGTTTACGCTCCTCCGATAACCAGCCCAGATGCTGCAAAAAACAAATTCTACGAGGACCTGCACGCCCTTCAGGCGTATGTACCGAGGGCAGACAAGCTGGTTGTCCTTGGTGACTTTAATGTGAGCGTCGGGACAGACTGCGCTGCCTGATGGGGCATGCTACGTCTCCACGGAATCAGCGGTTAGGAAGACAACGGTCTCCTTGTTCTGCGAACCTGCGCTGAACCCCGTCTTCTGCTGACCGACACCTTCTTTCGCCTTTCGATGCGGAAGAAGGCCACCTGGATGCATCCCCGATCGCATTGCTGGCAACTGCTGGACTATGTTCTCGTCCGGTAGCGCGATCGACAGGACGTGATGGAGACCAAGGCCATCTGTGACCTCGATGGCTGGACGGACTACCGTCTCCTTATCTCCAAGATGAGGCTTCGTCTGCAACCTCGCAGGAGGCCACAATGTAAGTGACCACCAGGTGAGCTGACTACTGCTTTGTTATTTTTGCCAGCTCACCGTTTACATTTCAGAAATCAACTGAGCCATCGCCTGGAAGACCTACAAGCTCAACATGAAAACGCCCCCGTGGAGACTCAATGGTGCCAACTTCGGGACGCTGCCCATTCGGATGCCGTGGGTGTTCTCGGCCACGCATACTGTCAGCACCAAGACTGATTCGACGACAACGCCGCTGACATCAGCAACCTGTTTGTCGAAAAGAATAGATAGCCACTGACACTCTCTCCTGCCTCCGACCTTCATGACTATGTCTTGACACGGGGCACAGGTGGAGGAAGAGCCGAGCGCAGTAGGTGCAGCGCAAGTTTACTACCACTACAAAAGAAATCACGCGCAAATCACCGTGTTTGCTCTCACCCGCTCATGGTGAACATCGTCTGTCACGACGGTCGAACTGTCAGTATGCCACGCCCGTGCTGGTCACAAACTCCACACGAAGAAGACTTTAGTATCTTGGTCAGGCGCAGCGGCTGACCAGGGATTTCGTCTCTGTCTCTTGAGAGCCACGGCCTTTGTGCGCCCTTTTAGGTCTGAAGTGACAAACGCGCCCAATTCTGTGGCCGGTAAGTCAATTCAATGACAGGTCAAATTAAGCGGGCGAGTAGCGCTCATCGATCTATACTGACTGGAAGATCAAAATGGGCATTTCCGTTATGCCCTGAAGCCCATGTAGGTGACTGCATTGCGACTGGCCATCAAGAATCGGGAAATATCACCGACAAGGATAGCCGATAATGAAAGTATTCCTTCTGGATCGGTGGCCATTATCGGTCTGCGATGATCCAACCCCGGACGCCGAAGTACCCGAAAATTGACGGGCTTGAAATATTACCAACCGACTTAGGTTGGTAAGTCAGAAGTGGCTATTTCAGTGTTTATTATCTTTGCTGGCAACAGTTCGCGATACTTACTTATTAGTATAACCGCCCAGTAGAACGGCCCCAAAGTAAAGTGGTGCAAGGAGTAGGATAACCGGATTTTACAGACGAGGAAATTTTTCTAGTAATAAAGTTTACCATAAGCAAGGTACTAACGGCAGATGGGAAGGGTCTTTCGATGATATAAAAACAGCAGCGAGCAGGTGCATTTCACAAGCAAGAAGAGGAAGTACATGAATTATAAAATGAGGCTAACCTCAGGCGAACGTCCTAACGGAGCCACTTAACGAGGAAGTATATGTACAGCAGTCAAATACCGCTCAAAAAGTGACGAAATCTGTTGGGATTAGTTGCATAGTTGGCCACTTCCCTGGGTCGCAGGTACGGGACCGCTTAGAATATATGCACGTGGAGGTGATTGCAACATACAACAGCTCGACGAGAAAAACAGTGCTGACTTAACAGTACTGGCACAATGTAGGCTCGGAGAAAAACGAAAGTTTAAGAGGGTCATTTTAGCCGACATTTATGCAGTTCACCCCATTAAATCCCACGTTTTGTTAGGTGTGGTCGGCGGCAGAACTCTAAAACCTAACTTACCAGACTGCTTTATTCAGTGTAATTCCGCAGCCCACCGTCTCGTCAGACAAAAATGAGGCATGTCGACGCACACACAGATGGCCTTTTACTGCCATGGACTTAGATGCTCCTGGCCGGTGTAAAATCCAAAGGCGCTCAGTCGATTAAGAGACATTTTTGGCACATCCTACGGCATATTGTGGTGGATTTCAGACGATGGTACCAAGGGTAGTGACAAATAACAAACGTACGCTTAACTTCCTCGCCCACAAAGGCAGAGCTATGTGATGATATTCTTCAAACGGGTGGAGACCATTTGAGCCAGCTGACTATTCCTCTAATTCCATGCATTGTACGATAGGAGCTAAAAAACTGAGGGGCAAGGGCACTTACCACAGCCAGCCAGTTTTTTCATCCCTGGATATCATGTTGGCGGCGACGACGTACGGTGACGAGCCAGTGGTGAAAATGAGTGATTCATGGTCCACTTGCGACCTGTTCGTAGTCACAGGAGTGGCTGTCGTTGGGTCGGGACCGCTCTTCAAGGGCTCCAGAAGGTCTCGGGTCTAGATAAGGCGAAAAACATAGATTGCGGACGTAGTGGAGAGGTGAAAATAATATCTAAAGTCCGCGGCTGAGTAGATAAAATGACAGATGATTGAGTGCAGTGACCTAGGAAAATTGAGGGAGTTCTGGAGAGCGGCAGCTGATGCCGTCTTTGGATAACACTACCTTTTCTATGTCCCTCCTGGCAACAAATTATAAAACCGCTCTGCACCGTGTCTGCTGGAGTAAAAGTTCTGAAACGCCGTTCGTGCAGTAATAACCAAAATACCGTTTATTTTGCAGGGGGATTTATGCCATTCAATAGAAGTGGACATATCTTGCTCACCTCAGTGAATTCAATGACAGGCGGGCTCCTGGCCACACAGAGTGCAGCGGCACAAGTTCCGAAGAAATCCCACATTGAGAGAACCTGCGCCTGCACAGACTCCTCAGCCAAAAAACTAACTCTTTCCGCGAAACGACGGTATTCCAGAGCGTAGAACTGCACTATTGTGGAAACAAATGTGCATATTCGTGCCATGGTGACGTCATCCTCGGAGGTAGGAACACCAGAGCAGGAAAAACGAAGGAGACAGATGCTCAAAATCCAACGGCAAAGGCATAGTAACTCCCGGCCGGTTTCGATGGCATTAACGTGGAGACGGCCCTTTATGAGCGTGGATGCAACGGGGAGGAGCGTCGGAATCTCATCCATCAAGAAGCAGGCATCAGAGTGAAGAAAGCAAGGACTTGCGAGGGTCCCAGTGCCCCCTTGCCTAAAGGACGCCTCATACAGCAGAGGCGTATCCGACATAAAGATATTCATTAAAGCATGTACGTCAAGTTTTGGCGTGGAGGTGAGCTTCTGAGAGAAAAGCCGTTTGGCTATTGGCGAGGAGGCAAATAGTTCGTCGATCGAAAATGCATCTCCAAGAAATTCATTCACCTAGACGGGAAACAGTTATGTGTGTCTGTACTGTGTTAACCTTTTTTTGAATAAAAACTTATTTTCGAATAAAACTCACGCATATGACAAAGTCGTCGGATAAAAAGAGAGATGGGTCAGCGGATGAGACGTAAGCTGACCTCTGAGGGGTAACTTCGCGAAATTTGGACCAGAGTTTGAGGAGACCAGAATGGTGGTTGAGGAAAATGTCAATAAACGCATTCTGTGAGGACTGAGAAGTGAAGACTGTCACCAACGACCATCGAAGGAGGCGCAGGAGCCAGCCGAGTGCTTGCTGGTCAAAGAGATTCCCGCAACATCTGGGATGGGAGATGTGAGAAACGCAGTCAGTGAATCATAATAAATGTGGACGAGGGATGATAAAAGAGATGTCATTCCAGGTCGTTGTTTGACTCCTTACCTGGAGGCACCCGCAATGAACAAAAGGAAGACTTACATACAAGGTGGATGATCTGCTAAGGAATCACGATACGCCGGTCAGTTTTACAATATCGAAACAAAATGACGCCAGATGAAATCGAAATGGCGATTTCCAACAGCTTTTGCCCAAGGAACCAACCCTGAACGTAGTAGGAGCGTACACTGCATCACAAGCTGTGTGCACTTGGACGGCCAGAAGGCGGGTTTAACCCGAGGAAGATAAGATTGAGTTCGCAGAAAAACCACTCAGGGCAGAAACATGGCAGAGTGAGAAGCAGTAATTTCCATTGATAACGTTTAGAGGTTCTCCAACAACAGCAAACACCAAGCATCCAGAAGCCAGAGAAAGGATAATCCAAAATTTGTCTCACGAAGTTCAAAAAGTGCTTTAAGGTATACGACCTATATATTTGGGCACGGGGCAGCTGATTCCACAATTCTAATGAACGTCCGGATAAATTAACATTTTTGTGCAGTATTCTGCACTGCAACCAGAATGATGTTCGTCAGCAGTCAACCCCCGAACTTCCTCACTCTGCAGCGTCCGGATCGTTGGAGAAACAGTAGATGTACTCGGCGAAGAGTGGTCCTATTTCTTTGGATCAACTGACACTTCTACAGACTGCGCCATCACGCTACTAATGAAAGAAGTATCCATACGCTAGTTTGCACGTCACGAGTGACAAGAACCGTCACTATCCCGAACAGATGGTGCGGGTGAAAATTCGTATAGTATCTAAACACTATTGGCATACCTGCCGTATTCCAAGGGCAAGACCAGGAAAGAATTCTGGAGATAGGCGTGACTGCCGAAACTGAAATGGCTAAATAGTTCGTTAAGTCATGTCCTTCACGACAAAGTCCACAAGAAGTAGGCCTTAGTATGGAGGTCCCGGGCCTCATATAAGCGAGCGCTTCAAAAGTCACAGAAGGAAGGGGTCATTACAACCTGACGCTTAGTCCTGAAGGGTATAGAGTTGCCCTATCAGTTGACAGTCTTCCATGCCGCAACTGATGACGCATCGCCATTAGTTAAAAGCACGTTTGGTTGTTTACAGTGAGGAAATTAAGCTCTGGATCCGAGCCGTATTGGCCTCTCACGACTGATGGTCTGTCCGATTATGTCGATCGCGAGCGGTGGTTGGCGTGACGTGGGGTTTCTGTCTAACGCGTGTCATAAACTACTTTTACCGGCAGACCTAAGACACGTTAATATACAGGTTGGTTTAAACCCACTTCGGGCTATAAGGACGCTTAGAGACCTTTAGACTCAATGCAGATTCAAATAAACGCAAAGGACTAGGTTGGCTTCAATTCAAGAAATGCTTGGAGAGACAGTTGCACCATACAATTACTGGAATGGGAGCTTACCGAGAGAAGAACCGATCAGCAAGTGGGATTAAATGCCTTTGGAGAACGTTTGGCATAAAAGTGCATGCGTTCACGACCTGGCAGAAGAGCATTGCAACAACGCCTGAGGGCGCTGCACATAAATCTTGTATGCACCAATTTATCAGACCTAAATTAGTTAGAAAACGGTAAAAATATACTTTTGACGCAATTTACGCAGACAGGTTGTCGCATCGAAAACGTCGAGACCGGGAGTGTTCGTGATCGCAATTGAAAGACAACTCACAAGAGAAGGCTTTATAGAAAAAACGCTCGCATCAGAAAGCAAATCTGTTATTTGAGACACCAATCCTTCCGCCTGAAAAGGTAGGCTGTCTATAGAACGCAGACTTAATATCAAATAACAAGTGGTTACTTCTCAGGCCAAAAGATGCGAACAGAGACAAAAGACGACAACAGTCAGCCAGTTCGGATGCACTAGAAAGGTCGGAGGGAGCGAAATCTTTGCTGCCGCGACATTTCACCCGCGCGATCTCCTCTCTCAGGATGTAGGCAGTGACCTCGTAGACAGAGCGCCAAGTGAAGAACGCAGCGTCGGCGTTCAACCCTTTCTGCTCACTGCGAAAATCCAGATACCTTCGGACTGCGGGATGCTTCAGAACATTTATAGCCTGTGACAGGCGAATCTAGTAGGAATATAGTCTTAAAGGTTTCATCACTTACTTTACGATCTTTCCGGCTGCTTGTGGAGAGAGCGTTAAATACCTCTTCAACCCGTGCCATCTCATTTACAAAAAAGGCAGGGATAGCATCAAGGGGAAGGGTTATGGTTCACAAGTACTACGGGAAGAGAAGAAAAAATAAAACATGAGCATTTCATGAGTCAGAGAGCAAGGTTTGAAGATCTTGGCTTCCAAAAGGTTCTTCTATAGAGGGAGTTGCGTCAACTAGTTGAGAGAACGTAAATGAGGCTGCCAGAAATGCGGCGAACGCCTCACTCTCGTCCTTCTCAGCAAAACAATCGAAGAATGGGGAGGCATTTTTCATTTAATATAATGCTGCTTTGCACTCTACGTTAACCTACAGAACATCTGTTAAAGCAAGAGTCCAAGTACACAAATGCTAATCAACCCGAGATGCCCGACCGATGTAAAAGGATCCTTTGCCTTTTATATAAATGCTTTACAACTGGCTTGTGGCACGAAATGCTTACCAAAAGGCGAAGAGGAGCTTGGGCGCTAAAGCAGAATAGCGAGAACTGCGTAAGTCAGAGTGGGTAACATTTGACTTAGATTACTGTTTCGAAACGCCGAGGTTATGTCGAAAGCAGGTTATCTGCAGTCAGTTGTCAAATCGACGAACACGAGTTTCGGAAATTTGCTTAATTGGTGCCGGAGAAGACACACCTCAATCTGATGCACCGCGACTGCAGGCACAAAACGCGAGCACACGTTATGACATCGACTGCCGCCTCACCAGCATCCAGCCAGAAACGCATCGTTATAAAGACATGGAAAGATGCGTAAGGCTACCTGGGGATAATCACTGGGCATATGTCTTCATCGCTTCACGGAACGGCAAATAAACGGAAGCAGAACCCGATAGTGAGTATGTAAAGCAATATACGTGAAAATACGCCGTCCCAATTTGCTGTTAAAGAGAGCCACTTCCTTTCTCCCAATATGTTAGTACAAACTGCCATCCCACCCCTGCATAGTCGCCCCACCCTCCCACTCGCTTTTTAAGCACTATCCCGGTGTCACGTAATGTTAAAACCATGGAACATGTATCTGAAAAACACGCCAGTACAGCTTAATGATGTGACATAATGCGTTTTGTCGAATTCGCATTCGTTTACCTTCTTTCTCTCCTTCCCATAACTTATGTTAGTGTAAGTTGGGCTGCTAGACAAAAATTTTCGGAATTCAGATCGTGGGAGAAAAAATTTGGAAATCACGACTTCATAATTATGGCAACTTATTTGTGAAGGGAAAATAAGTGACAAGACGAAGCTTTCAATTCCATTTCGTCCAATTTATGCAACGCCATTGTTGGTGTGCGCAAAAGGAGATGTGGCTAAGTAGAATTATAACCCTTGTACAAACGTTGATGCATTCTTCCCAGTTATTCGAAGCAATACAGTCGGCATGCAGTGAGCAAGTGAGTTCGTAAACATCACATCATATCAATATGGCCCTCGAGCATGTCTCAAGGGCTTAAAGTGATAAGGCCATTGTGATTAATGGGTCATTTCTCGTCGAATTTTACGAGAAAGGGTTCATTGGGATTTCATAAAAGACATGGAGCGGACCAGAAAAGCAGAGCCGAGTACGCTGAGCACGTTATTTGCGTGTCCGTTTACTAGGATTGTATCCTTCAATCCGAAAGATTGCAGGGGCCATGCCTTTAAAAATGGTTGGGAACCACATATAGGATAGCCAGACAAGGTCTAAGGGCTATATTTAGCGCCATACCACAGCAATTGCCGTCTGCAAAAAGGCTCCTAAGGACGCCTACCAAGTGTCGATGGGCTAAATTGTGCCGACGGTAGAAGCAACAGCGATCAGAACATGACGAAGGGTCCTTGTGTGCATTACAAGTTGCCGTGACTTTAACGTGTCTTAGTTAACAACCTGACTGTAAGCTAAGTATGGTGGCAAACTTCTCTGTCACCCGTCTTCTCAGCACCGGCGTTAACTTAGAGTAGACTATTATTAAGGATCCCACCCGAAACACCTGGGATATAGGCTGTAAAATTCAACTAGTGCCTTATGAAATACATATGAATGAAATAAGCTGTAGACCAAAAAAACTTTCAAACACTTAAATCAATGTCCATGAGCACCCAAACGGACTCAGGTATTTTCAGAAGTCTTGGCAGACACTGTAAGCGCAGCAATTCTTTCGTGTGAATGAATGAAGGAACTTTACGCACCCACTCGGGCGAGTTGGGAGAGGGATTGGCATGCACATGTAGCGCTCAGCCAGCGCCCTAGCCTCGAGGGCATTTCAAACACGTGTGCGCATAGGCATCGGTTTCGCGCGTAGTGCCAGATCAACGTTTAGCCCCCCTGCACATGTGAGCCAAATTCGTCCCACACGCCCCATGGAGTTTACGTCCGGGGGTGAACATCGAGTACGCTGCGCGTGGCTGAAGTCGGGTGCCTTGTCAAGCCACCCACGTCAGGAAGTGTCGGGCCCCTATTCGACATCGATTATGCATGCTCACTCCAGCTAGAGGGTGGTACTGAAGTGAGACATTGAAGTGTCCTGGAGGAGGGCGTCAGACCTAACGCGCAAAATGCATGGAGGTAAGCGTGGGGGAGGAAGTGTGGCAGCAAAGATCATTTTCTCGCGAAAGTCAACCACCGTTAGCCAATTAAATTCTTTGTCCTACACTAGCCCGCAAATCAAAGCGGTTAGCAGATGGCTGGTCCTGGGCGCCAAAATGCTATCAGGGACCGGCAAAATATCCGAAAAGATTTGTACGGTCTCAGCGGCACTCCGATCGAACTTGGGATGTCGCAGGGCGCCGTCAAAGACTCTCTTCTCCACTCTTAGGGAACGCGATGGAGTGAAAAGGAGAAAACGGTACCACATATGTGGTACTAACGTGTTATTGCACAATGAAAGGGTAAAATCAAATATTATCTTTGCATGAAATCTAGACGGGGCTTTTGCAACGTAATTACAACTTCTGAGGCATTAGTCATGCCAATTTAACTAGTGTTGCTGAGATGTCACTGAATATTCACAGACATATATGTATTACAAATGTAAGACGTATGTTGCGGGTAGTAAAAATTACCAGCATAAGACCTTCGAGTACAAGCATATGTATATATGAGGACAACAGAAACTTAGGATACCTTTAAGTTTAGTGAAAACCCCCAAATGATGGCACGAAAGCTATACGCAACACACGCAAATGAATCAAGGTCAAAAACTCTGGGAAGGAGATTCAGGCGCTTTGCCTCAGCTTTTATTCCTTCGATATACTTAAACACGTCTTTGGTTGGCTGGCTCAAAGAAGTAAATGAACCAACTGAGTCCAAGACATAGAAAATTAATTCGTTCTGGGGGTCTAGATCCTGAGCATCTAAA